TTCAACGAAGACGATCAATTCGTGCGCGTGCCTAGTCGAGACAGAGATTTCCAAGCGCATTGACCTCAGCCATAAACCTAGGGTCGCCAACTTAATAAAAATTTATATGTCGAAAGAATAGCAAAGCATAAGTAGTCGTATTTGCATTATATCTGAAGAAAGATTGAAATAATCGTAAAATTCTATTAATCACGATACAAAATGTTTTATCCATTTTAATAATATTCACGTTTTTTCGATCGCTTAAATGATATTTAACGGATAAAATAAAGATAATTAAATATGTCAAGTTTTCTCAATTTGATTTGTACTTTTTTAGTTATAAAATTTCGTCTACGAAATATTTGTAAGAAACATTTTTTAAATATCTATATAAAAATATGAACAAATAAAATTTTATGTTATCCATTAAATTTTTATAGTCATTTAATATAGGAACTTTTGATTTATATGATATTTAGTCTTGATTGGCTGAGAACAAATGACGTATTGAATTAGAATTTATCATTTGTACGCAATCAGCAATATTTCTAGTAGAATCTGGAAAGGTATTAAAGATGGCGGCGTCCTTTCGGCTTCGGCATGCGATAAAATTAGGAAAATTGTTTCCTAAACGAATAACTTATAATGTCGAAAGAACGATTATTGAACGAACATGTAGACAACTTGCCGGTAATTTATTTTTCCATTAATATCATCTTTACATTTCTATAATATGATGATTTCGATTATTTGGTTATGTCGTCATTACAAATTTAATTGTTCTTAATAAATATTATATACTGTAATATTAAATACTTCAATTGCTTATTTTATTATTTTTCTATATTTCATAATGTATGTAATAATAATATAATTTTCACAATATTTTACTTTGGTTTTATTTCACAGTAATTCCTGGTAACCACATTCGTTGTTTGTCATCACAAACAGCAACTCAGTCTTCGACTGAATATCATAATATAATACAAGATACAGAAAAAGTTACAGGTAATTTTAATAAAAATAAGTAAAATTCAATTGACAATTTTAATTCTTATATTCGATAATTTTTTCTTTTTTTTTTTTTTCCAGGAGAAAAAGCTAAACATGACTTTCAGTCAGAGACTCAGATGTTATTGCAGATCGTTGCAAAATCATTGTATTCTGATAAAGAGGTTGTTAATTTTTTAAAAATATTTTTTTTTTTTTAATAATTTTATCATAAATCATAATTATAAATATATTTATAGGTATTTGTTCGTGAATTGATATCTAATGCCAGTGATGCTTTGGAAAAATTAAGATACCTCAGACTAAGTAACACTGAAGTTGGTGAAGTAGCTGGTGATAGAAATTTAGAAATTCACATTGCTACTGATAAACAAAATCGTATATTAACTATTCAAGATACAGGAATTGGTATGACACATGAAGAATTAATATCCAATTTAGGAACAATTGCTCGTTCTGGTTCCAAGGTATGTCGATATATCTTATTTTATATTTAATAAATAAATAACAGTAACATTTTCACCTAACCTATTTTACTATAGGCATTCTTGGAACAAATCAAAGATAAGCAAAATGAAGGAGATCCGTCTAAAATTATTGGACAATTTGGTGTTGGTTTTTATAGTGCATTCATGGTAGCTGACAAAGTTGAAGTTTATACTAAATCTTATGCAAATGATGCTGATGGTTTTTGTTGGTCATCTGACGGGTAAATCATGATCTAATATTTTCCATTATAATATAATATAAAAGAGCTAAAAGTGTGTTAACATTGTTGGATAGATCTGGATCTTTTGAAATATCACAAGCAGAAGGTGTGCAACCAGGTACTAAAATTGTCATACATTTAAAACCTGACTCTCGTGAATTTTGTGATGAAAGTGTAATTAAAGGTAAGCTTTCTTAAAAATAATTAATATTTTAGTTTTTTTTTTCCTCTTGTATAATATATTAATTACAATTTTTTTTTTCTGTTAGGTATCATCACAAAGTACAGTAATTTTGTAGGCAGTCCTATTTATGTTAATGGTCAAAGAGCTAATACAATACAGGTATTTTATAAATATTAATATAAATACATTTATATTTAATTTATTATATGTTGCTATACTATATTAATAAAATTGAATTTTTTAGCCTCTGTGGATGCTTGACCCAAAAGATATTACGCCTTTACAACACACAGAGTTTTACCGATTTATTGGAAACTGTTTTGATACTCCAAGATTCATATTACATTATACGACCGACGTACCATTGAGTATAAAAGCATTATTATATTTTCCGGAAGAAAAGCCAGGTCTATTTGATTTAGCTAAAGACACAGCTGGAGGAGTATCATTGTACAGTCGAAAAATTTTAATTAAAAATAAAGCGGAAAATCTTTTACCTAAATGGTTACGTTTTGTAAAAGGTGTCGTTGATTCGGAAGACATTCCTCTTAATTTAAGTCGCGAATTGTTACAAAATAGTATTTTGATTGGGTAAGATTATTCAAAATCATATTTTTTTAATCCTTATTAAATGTGAATACATCGTAAAATAATATTTATTAATTTTTGCAGAAAATTACGTAACGTACTTACGGCTCGTATATTGAAGTTTTTGCAAGATCGATCTGTAAAACAAGCTGAGGACTATAATAAATTTTATAAAGAATATGGATTATTTTTAAAAGAGGGTATTGTTACTAGCAATGAGCAATCAGAGAAAGTAATTTTTTTAAACATTTATATTACTCAAATATTCCTTTTATATCGTCCGTTATAATAATCAATGTATTTACAGGAAGATATAGGAAAATTATTAAGATTCGAATCATCTGCAACTTCTCCAGGAGAGTTAATTAGTCTTCCACAATATTGTAGCCGTTTTGCTCAAGATCAAAAATATATATACTATTTGTCAGCACCTAGGTAAGAATTATTATTTTTATCATTTCCATGAATTTTCTCCAAACGATTATTTTATTTTGAAACAATTTATATTTCTAGTCGTACATTAGCGGAACAATCACCGTATTACGAATCTCTTAAAAAACGAAATCTTGAAGTTTTATTTTGTTATGAACCTTATGATGAATTAGTTTTGATGCATCTAAGACAATTTAATTCTCACAATTTAGTATCAGTTGAAAAAGAAATGAGAGATAATAGCGACGCCACTAAAACAGAAAATTTAGGTTTGTTACAGTTTCTGCGTATTCAATTTCTTCAAATGTTTTATAATTTCATATATTTTTTTTTTCTTTTTTTATAGGTATTATTAATAAGGAAGAAATGGATAATCTCGTAAGTTACATGCAAAATCTTCTGAAGAAAAAGGCTTATGAAGTTAAAATGACGAATCGTCTTGAATCACATCCTTGTGTAGTCACCGTTCAGGATATGGCTAGTGCGAGGCATTTTATACGCACGCAGAGTCATCAATTAAATGAAGAAACGCGCTACAATATTCTTCAACCGAGATTTGAAATTAATCCGTCTCATCCATTAATTAAAAAACTTTGTCAATTAACGAAGAATGATTCAAAACTTGCGGATCTTCTGATACAACAAGTATGTGACAATTATTGAATATAATTTGAAACTATATATATATATATGTACTTACATAATTTTATTTATTTACATATTTTTTTTTAAATCAATATTCCAGTTGTTTATGAGTGCAATGGTTGGTGCAGGATTGATTGAAGATCCACGCATATTATTAAATCCGATGAATGAATTACTAACGTTGGCTTTAGAGAAACACTAAAGCTATTATTTTGTTTCATCTAATACCTAAGTTCTTTTTTTTTTTTTTTTTTTTTTTTTTATAATTTTATTATAGATAATCTGACGAAATTAAGTGCAACAAAAGTATTCTTTCATTGAACCTTTAGAAATAGCAATCAAATAATATATAATATTTTTAAAATAATAGGAAGTGTGATTTATTTAAGCCTACTTCGATTGAAAAGAGACTACTTCGATCTTTAATTGTCGAAATCCAAGAAAAAAAAAAGAACTGATCCAATAACAGTCAAAGTCAGTAAAAAGTTTATTTTTGTTTATGTAAACAAATAATGACTGCGCATTAAAAATTTATCCCTATTTAAATATTAATATATTATACTATTTTGAAGTATCTATATATGTATATATATATAAGAATAAAGCAAAATAATTTTTTGTGGAAGTTTTTCTTTTTTTTTTTTTTTTTTTTATTATTGTAAAACATCTTGTATACGTACCATTTTTTTGATGAGTTCGTGATTAATTATAAAACTTATAAAAGGTAAAGTTATTTTTTATTTTTGCTCAAAAAGTCACATACAAGTTAATTGTAACTGTACCATTTAGCAACAAGAGACTGTAGCATTTGATTATTACTGTATACGTTAATTATTTAAAAATATGCCCTAAGTCAAATAATGTAATACATTTGAAAACATTTAAAATCATTAACAAACTACTTTTGACTTTTTGGATTATTCACATGTTACAATGTAACATTAGCAACATTCTAATAACGATTGTCTATATAGTAACTCATATAATTATGTTATTTAATATATTAATATACAACGTATACATTCGAAAGCTAAATAAAATCATAGAACGTAATGTATATGATACACGCAATAATAAAAGAAGCAGGACATTTCTAATGTTTATATACTTTTTTTTGTTTTTTGACAATGAATTACTTTCGTACAACGAATCATGTACAAGAAAGTTTAAGTTAATGAAATATCAGAATTTTTTTTTTTAACAAATAATTGATTATAATTCCTTTCAGGAACACGTAATAATTTTTATATATTAAAGATAAATTTATATATATATATGTGATTATGGCCGTAATATATGCTTTTGCTTCAATGTAATAACAATAACAAATCGCAAATATTAGTGTACATTCAATAAGATATATATATATATATATATATATATATATATATATATATATATAATATTATATATATATATATAAGACTGAAATAAATGTGTCAGTAATAATTAATTTTACATTGGTTTAATGATTTTATTTGTATTACTTTTTTTAACGCAGCTTATTGTGTATGAAATTAGGTTAAGTGTTCAATGATAGGAACCTGCATATTCCGTTCCAGAGAATAAATAACATTCATCTCAATGAACTTATTTAGATTATTTCACTTTTCAGCCTTTAAAGACTTTTAGTATTATCTACTCAAAACTGTAGTTGCACGTCTCACGTTTCTTGGAAATTTATGTTCCATCGTCACTATCATTATCATCATCATCATCATTATCATCATCATTATTATCATCCATTATTACCATCATTTAATAGATTAATTCTCTTATGTGAGATTTTTTTACACAAATTACTTTCTACTTAATCACTACTATAACGAATATAATAATAGTTTTTCATTTTATAATGTATTACAGACGAAAGACATCAACAATTAATTTTGTCTAAATAAAGAAAAAAAATTTATATTGGAAAATGCGCATTCCATGTAATTATAAACAATGTTCATATGAATAATGTACAATTGATTGTATACTTGATAGCTATACATTCTGCAGGAAATGATTGCTTAGGTTTTGTTATTCAAAAGAATTCTTCTCTTTTGAATAAAACTATTTCCACAGAATTATATCTTACATTAAAATATTGTGATTCGTATAGATTACAGATTCAATCAATCAATAAGTTTACTTTCATATGAGAAAGGAATGATTGTTAATAATAAATTACGTTTTATCATATGATATATACACTTTGGCGAAAATACACTGTTTTAAAGGTATAGCAAATAATACCAAAGATATTACAACAAAGCTGAAAACTAGCTAACTTCTGATCTAACTAAAATTATAATTTCTTGTAATTAGATTCTAGAACCTTGGTTTTAGGCAACACTATATGATTCCATATGGAATACATTTTATTTTTTCATATTGTGAACTATTTTCTATAACACATATTAATTTGTTAAAACACTGTGCCACACTATCAACATGTGTGCGTATATTGCAAAATTATAAATTTGTGTATATATATGTATATATATATATACACATATATATATATATGTATATATATATATTATACTTAGGGATTATATTTTTATGGAACTTTCTGAAGAAATCATTTCTCAATACTAGCACAATGTCTCTAAAGATCAGACTGTTATTTTTTAATACATATATTTTATATAGCTGTATTTTTGATACAGCATTCCCAATTCACTTGCATATATCAGGTCATATGAACAGAGATGTAATATATTGGCAATGATATATGTTACTGACTCAAATAGAGATGTATTGCCCGCGTGTGTAATATAAGATAACATATGCAGTTATCTTTAATGGTCCACTCTATTCCTCATAAAGCATAAACAAATTTTGCATAGTTTTACCTATTTGTGAAGCACAAGTTTTTAATGTAAATTTTCTAATATAATGTGTGAACAACGCAGTCACGCTCTGGCAACTGACGAACTTTCATTGAACCATCTGCTCCACATGAAAATAAACGTCCTGCTGAGTCTACGTGTAATTGTGTAACACCCTGAAATAAAAAATATAAATATCGTTCTTCATAATAAATTCTTTAAAACAATTTACAATATACCTGTCCAATGTTTTTGAAAAAACTAGATCGAGGATGTTCTGCAGGAAAAGAGTGTAGAAGACAATGGACGGTTAATCCCCATATCTATAATAATAACCAATTGTACATATTTATATTCAGTTTTATTATATAAACTGAATCACATATTAACTTTAATTTGTTTACTTTAATATCTCCATCACCAGCACCGCTAACAAAGAATTCCTCATGTGGATCCAAAGCTAAACATTTTATAGCAGATTCATGTGCTTGGAATCTATGACGTTGTTGTCTTTGTCGCACATCGAATATATTGATATCTCCTTTTTTACCACCACTTATCAATAATTGATGTTGTGGTGCCAATACAAGAGAACTAGCTCCTTGCTCGTGACACGTAAAACCTAATAAGTTAAATAATTAATGAAAGAATGCATATATCTTTTCAATAAAATTGTTGTTTATATACCTTGTATGAGAGATTTATTTTGTGGTAGTAATGTATCCCAAAGCGCAACATTGCGTCCTTCGGAACCATGACCTGCGGTAGCTATGAGACTGCATGCTCCAAGAAAGACGAAATCAGCTGTTACTTTACTATGGCACTGATAATTCTAAATAGAAAGTACAATTTTGAGATTAATATAACATAATCGATTTATCGCTTAATTACATTAACATTTTCATCAAAGAAACTTACAAAAAATGGACGTGCTGTTCCTTCTCTACAAGCCACTTGGAATAAACTTAAGTGTCCATCAGAGTCAGCCACTCCGAATTTGTTACCATGTTGAGAAAAACGTACGCGAGTAACTTTAGCAAATGTACCTGGTGGTCTTGGTGTTGCAACAGCTGTTTGATGACCCCATTCCCATAACGAGACTGATCCATCTTGCGATCCAGTTAAGTCTAAAATCAATAATATATAAATTGTTAATGAATATTTTTTACTAATCATAAAATCTATAATGCAACCATTTATTATAAAATACTTACACAGTGGTAAAAGTGGATGAGACGAAATCCTTCTGATACCATCGATTTTATGCTTCAAAATCTGTTGTAATAAAATAAAATAATGTTAAACAAGTGCATATATTAATTATAAAAAATACACAATTTATATTCGTAAATAAATATAACAACGCAGTAATGCTTAGCAAGAATGAATATAACAGATAGTTCCTTATTTCAATGCAAAAAAATATAGCAATTATTTGTTCATCAAATTACTTGATCTATGTAGAACATGCTTGAAACTTTTTCAGATAATATGCAATACATAGCAAAATGTAAAGTACGATAAATTAAAAATTTAATGAGTTGTTTTTTCTTTGAACATTATTTAAACTGAATATTTTGTGTGTTTTGTATGTATGTACGTTTTATACATTGATATTTATTGTAATACTTAAAAAAAAAAATTTGTTCTGATATGACACTAAAGTTTAATGTATGAATCTAATTGTGATCTAAATATGTGAAACAAATATGAATGCGGCATCAGTTTAACACGTTTTATACAGAATCTATGTTGATAATAAACATTTGTTCGTGTCGAGTTATACATATACAATGCTGCAACATGCAATGCACACTCATTTGCAGCATATATTTAATTAGAGTTTATATACTTTATACAAAAGCCATGAATTTGTTTAGATAGCTAATTAATGATATCTATGCTCCAAGCTCCATCAACTGAATATCACTATCATTACAGTTGAACTTTGTATGAAATATATTTTTTACATACTGTGACATCAAGAAAAAATAAATAAAATTAATGTCCTATACATAACTAGAATTCGTAAATTACTATACATATTTCTAAAATCATGCTTTAACAGGATATTACAAATATCATTTTATCACTTTAAAAATTGTGCTCAACATCTAATCTGTGATATTCACAAAACACAATGATCAAATGTTAATATAATCATGCCTTACCATTGAACTATGAAATTCAATGTAATTTCTTTATATCTGGTTTGTAAAATCAATAATTCTATATAAATCTCATTTAAAATTTTTTATAAGAAATTACTTGTCTCTATGACAATGATATATATTTATTAAAATAATCTTTAAAAATATATATTTTTATCTATTCTGAAGATGTTACAAGCCAGAGCAGGCTGCATTAGCAGGCAAGAAATTGAACATGAAACTGGCACTAGGACAGGCTAGGGTCTGTTTGATCGTTATCTCACCGGCTGCAACAAGTGTTTGCTCCTATCAGCAACAAACTGACAGAAACGCAGGTCGTGGGAGCCAGGAAAAGCAGGCATCCCCTTCATCTGAGCGAGCGAATGAGCCACCAGGTCAGTGACGCAGACCAAGTTAGATGTTAGGCAAGCATTGAACAAGCAACATTGTCTCTGTCACCACTTGTGCTACCCCGACCCAATATGTCACATTCATGGCTCCCAAGGCTTGACTCGTAATTTTATTTTAATATTGGGATATTTTGAGAAAAACAAATATAGAAAAAAACTTAAAAATATAATGAACTTTTCATTTATATTATAACTCTTAAAAAAAAGAAAGAAAAAAAAAAAAAAAGAAATAGTAGCAAAATATTTATTGATAGTTTCAATACATATGTTATTTGGTTTGATTCAAATATTACATTTTTTTTTTGCAAAACTTAAATAAATACCTTTTAAAACGAGCAAGCCTTGCATATAGCCGTGCCCTAATTAATAAGGCACTGTGCAAATTAATTCTTGACATTCCATGCAATGGATAAAATAACTTATATGTTCTTTATTTTTCTTATTTATGACTCCACAATACTTAAATAATCGAGACAAAAAATACCATTTAAATACATGATTACGTAAAGTCAAAGTTATAATGTTACTTAATAAAAGATAATAATAGTATCACTTATGTGCTAAAATATTTGTGATACAAAGAATTTAATTGCAAATATGTGCATTGCATATGATAAGAGACAAACAAATAAAAAATAAAGCCACTAAGTGCATTACAGAAATTTATATCTGCTTTATCAATATACTTGTACAATATAAATTTAGCTAAGAGAAACTGCTTAATTTTTACTATTTATAAATTCAAGGAACAACCTGGATTAATAGTTTTGCATAAAAAATGAAATATTTGTATATATTAAAAAAAAAAATCTATCAATTTTAATAGTTTTTATTAGACTCAATATATATATATATATGGTCTAGTTTAAAATAATAATATCAACATTATTATTATTATTATTGTTACTACTATTTCTTTTTTTCTTTTTACTATCTGCAGCCATTGCAATTTACAAATTAACTGCATCCACCATTATATTCTGTTTTAAATATAAATTAATCTCTTAGTTTTTTAAAAAATTATGATGCCAGTAAAAGTAGACTTATTTGTTATAGAGGATACAAACATTAATTGATTTATATACATTAACACAGATGCAAAGGAGCACAACATTTTTCAATCGATTGATATTCAGTTTTGGTATCTTTGAGTTTATATATTTAATATTTGTTATATTATATTAGCATAAATGCTGTTTCTCTTAAACATAAAATCATATACATATTAAAATATTTGAAAAAATCAGAAGAAAATCTCATTAGAATTTTGATTATATGAAGAAAATAATAGACAACAATGCAAACAGATTTGAAAATGTTAAACAAATAGGCACTAAATGTTATAAACACTGGGAAGATAAAAAAAAGAAAAACTTTAGTGTCCTGTACAACACAGAATATCAGAATAATATTAGTATAACGTAAAAACAAAAAAATAATAATACGAAGATGATTATTTGAAAACATAGAAATCAGATTACTGTGACAACATATATAATTTATACAGTATAAATGTCAACTCACCACACTAGCACCTCGGCCACTCTGGCTCGCTATACCTGACTGAGGTTGAGGACTATTTGATTGTGGACTTTGTGCAAGTAATGGACGATCAGCTGCTGTCTGTAAATAATCAAATACCACACACACACATATATATATATATATATATATATATATATATATATATATATTTTATCTAAGATAATAAATAATGAATCTTTATTGAATTTATACCTGTATAACTAAGAAGCTAGTTGGTTGTACGGATTCTGCATCCTGTTGTTTACTTAAATTAATTATATCGAATTCACATTCATCTTCTAGCCACGATGGAAGTTCTAAGAGTAATGATATATTCATTTCCTGAACTTCACGAGGGGTGGCTAAAGCCATTAATCCTCCATTCACCTGGTCATACAAATTAATTAATTATAATGTTGTCATAGTAATAAATAAATTAAAACAAACCTGATTTAGGCAAAATGCACTAATACTATCTTGTTCCTTGTGAATAATTCTGACAGGCTCAGCTACGCTTGTTGTACCACTGTCGCTTCCTCCTTTATCTTCTCCTCGATTTAAATTATCAATAGCTGTTTGATTGCTATCGAGTATAGATGATAACGATCTCCTTTTTCCAAATACTGCTCTTATAAATATATCTTGAACCAATTCTTGTCTAACTAAGTAGCACCATAAACGATTTGCAGGAGCTGCGGATGCCATGCGGGTACTAATATGGCGAAAGGATTATTCATTTTAAACGTATAGATAATTAATAATACAATTTATTTTTTAATTTAATTTTACTTACTTAAAAGGCGTGTTTCCTTTTTCTAATAATGCACGATACTTATGAATAGCTGGTTTTCCAGGTGTGGGCGCTGGATCTGGTGTACAACCTGGTATATAATTTATAGGAGCGGGTCCTTTTGACTCTAATTCCTCCCTTAAAGTTTCTTGCCATTGTGCTACAATACCTAATGTGCCATGAATTAATGGACTACTCACAGGTAATTCTGTAACAAAAATATTAATTTTAAGTTAATACAAAATCGCGAATTACAATATATATTTAAATAAAATTACCTTGCATTTCTATGCCTGCAACGTTTAAGAAATCTTGCAATTGCTTTTGCAATATTTTAACAATTGCTAATCTCATGATACACCAGCTATGAGAGTTTGGATTAGAATGTTCTATGTTGTCCTTTGGTTTAATCTTTGGCTTCGAATTCGTATCAAACACATCTTCCTCATCTTCAGAAGAATCTAAGTCCGATACAGCAGAGTCTGACGAATCGTAGTCAATTTCATCGGCATATTCACTCTCTATACGTGGCTGATGAAATACAATTGATATAAATAATTTGTATTTAAGATATATATACATATATATAGTTTTAATAAATTAAGTAATGTATTACCTTCATCAGGAAATAGGAAACCATGCTCATCTGGGGTGAAACAAATTGTTCTCTGTATGTTGGTTTGTCTTCCTTCATATTTGGTTGTTGTCCTGTGAATTGTCCTAACAATTTCATATTTAATTTCATACGTTGTTTAGTCAGTGATGTCATAGTATTCCACATGGCACTAGTAGTACTTTGATTTTCATTCGAAATCTCTGCTTTCTCGATAGCATTTGTATTATTACTCTGTAATATTTATACAGAACAAATGAAATTTATACATACAGGTTGAAAATATAATGATATAAAAATATTAAGACATATGCTAACCTGACTACTCGTGCTTGCTACTCGCAATAATTTTTTAACACCACCTCCAAAAAGACAAGACCAAGTACTATTGTCAAAACATTGACCAACAAGTCTATATAAAATATGGCTATCACAGCTTGATAAGGCATAAACGAATAAACTCATATACGTTGCTACAAAAGTTTCACAAAGAAGAATGTTTAATTTTGGTGTATCTTCATCTTTTTCGCGTGCCAATAAAGCACGTAAATTTGTAACGCCGGGCCACTTAGAGGGTGAGGTAGTTATGCATACTCCATCGTCCGTTGAATATCGTCGATGATAACGATTTGAAGCAACTAAATGACCACCAGAAAATGTTTCTATTTCTGCTACTACCGGGAAGCTGAAAAAAAAATTAAATATTATAAAAATATTTATAGCTATGTCATTATTTAACAAAGATCATGTTACCTATCTGGTTGATGATGTTTCATAACAAAAGTATCGGAATCACATAAAGATTGATAAATACAAGCACTAAGTGCAACTGCTAAATCTCTCATTATAAATACTTCACGGCAATATGTATTTCTATTAGGCATTGGAGGATTTCGTAATTCTACTAATGTTTGTAACATATCATGTGCTAAAGACTAAACATAAAGAATAAAATTATCATTATTTTCCTATCATTTAATATCGAATATCCTGTTATCATTTTTCTATTACGAACCTGTAAATGTCTGACAGGATCAGCAACTACTGTTTTATTACAAGCAACACTCGCGCTTAACAAAGGAAGAGTAGTCGGGAAAGGAAGTGGACTAAGTAATTGCTGTTGAGTTTTTTCCTGTTGTAATTCTTGTAAAAGAAGTACTAATTCCATCCTCACGGATGCTAAACCACCACCGGATGCTCCGTGAAGAGAACAATACGATAATAATGTTCTTAACAATGTTTCATTAGCTAAAATATATAATCAAATATATTTTCTTTTTTTTTTCATATTCTCTTAAATATTTGAATTTATATTTTATAAAGTTTAACTATATTACATTACCTTTCAACCATTTCTTCCTTTTGGCAGCTCTTTGTACTTTAGCTTCAAAATCTAATTTTTCTGCAACTAATATTTCATGCAATGTTGGTTGTTCTCCAGCCCTACATGGAGGTACATCATCTACCATTCCACCTTCATCTAAAATTGATTTTACAATATAGTACATATTGAAATTTATTTTGTTTTAACGTGTAAAATAAAATTTCTTATATAATTACATTCTGAAGTATTATTCGCATCTCCATCCGTATTGACACTATAATTACAAAGTTGTCTCAAAGCATCTACTTCTCGTTCCAGCCAAACATACAATTGATACCTAAGTTGCCCTCCATCCACTTCAAAACCAGTAGCTAATGTTGATAATTCTTCCATGAGAATTTTTAAACAAGCAACAAATTTTAATTGTTGTGCCATAATGTCTAACTGCCCAGATGATTTTGCAAGTTCTTCTAAAATATTAAATATTTTTATTGTCTTATTAATTCCGAATAAATATTTAATGTTATTAATTAAAAAATTATAACGAAAAAGAAAAAAAATATCCGTACCTTCTTTGTCTAATTTATTAACAGTGCCATTTTGATTTCCATCCAGTTTCATGCTTAATGGAGGACTATCGCCATCTTCGTTATCGGCATTATCGTCGTCCCAATTCAACACTAATTCTTCAGTTTCTCGCACAATAGGTTGCGACCAATTGGTAGCTCCCCAATCAATAGAAGCAACTGATTCTAACGAAAAATGTTTAACTTTATATTTTGTTATTATAAATGTATAATTAATTTATACCTTGAGTATCAGAAGTTTGTTTAGTTTCTGCACCCCAAACAATAATCCCTGTATCTATTTGTACATCTTGTGTCCTGGATTTGGTTGGACTATTCAAGAGACCTAAATAACGATCATTAATTATAGACTTTCATTCATTTTTTTTTTTTTTTTTTTTTTAATAATATTATTTATTATTATAATATAAAACTTACTAGGTGAATTTTCACAATTTGTATCCATAACTTTACTAGGTAATTTAGACAAAACCTCAAGAGCAAGAGCAGGACAGCCTGCTTTAAAATGAGCATGAGCAGTAGTGAAATATAATTGTCTTTCTAAGGGAGTAATACTGTCTTCTAACGTAAGATGTTTATCTGGTTGAGTCTTCACCTCTGTACCATAACTAAATCCTGATATAACTACAGAATGACCCTTCTTTTTATCTTGTGCAGTAGAAGCAATATACTGTCTAATTAATAATGGATGTGTACGTAAATAGACATAAAAATTGAAGACATTTGGATTTGCTGTAATATATGAAAAATAAGTTAGGAAAAAGTATCGTCAAATTATACTTAATTATAAATATAAACAAAAATCACCTGTAGCACCCTCAGGTTTGTCAGATTCATCATTATATTGTGGATGCATAGTACCAACATTAGTTAAAAGTAAAGTATTGAGAGATCCTGAATGATCTTTAAGTATCCACAGTGCCATACTTCGTAGAAAAGGATCAGGATGACATTTGTTCATATCTTGATTTTGACCGTCTTTATCGCAACCTAAAATTTCCTCATAAAGCAATCTTCTCATATGTGGAGATGTTGTGTCATCTTCGTAAAGTCTTGCAATAACCATTGCAAGTTGAATATCATTTAATTTGTCCAGGCATACATCAATGGCATCTTTCAATGCGCCTGCTAATAAAAAGAATGCTGCAGCATGTTCAAATCTTTGCTTTCCAAGTAGTGCAAATGCATTTTTCAAGGCTGCTTTTCTCCATCTGTTTTCTGTAAAGTTATTTGCAAAAAAGGAGGTCATTCTGTCATCTTTTTTATTTCTAAATAATCCCCATACTAAATTCTTTTTCTTCATAGCTAAATAATAAATAGCAGCGTCCAAAGGATCTTGATTTTGTTGAAATGCCGATTTAGCGATCTTATCGATACATCGTTTTAACACAATATTACTTCTAATCCACCAACCAACACCAAGTTCTTTTAATACAGACCATTTGGGCTGTCCCTTTGCATATGATGGAATTAATCCTAGCAATTCTTCTTCAGATTCGGAATGAAAAGCCCATACAAGGTTATTAGATGAAATACCTTGCTTCTGGAATTGTGCTCTTTGTGCCAATGGAAGACAACGTATTAAATAATTATAATGTTTCATAGCCAAAAGGAATCTGAGCCCACAGTCGTCCAATGAATCCATAGAAACTGCTTCGCCATCGGGTATACCTGTTAAATTTTCCTTTGCAATTGCATTTTTAGCTGCATCTATTGCAAAACGTTCTGCAAAATCAACATTACATGTTGACACGGTATCAGCTAATGCAAGAAGATGCATTTGATCAAGACTAGATAGACCAGGTAAATGAGTATGAGTTAAAAGACGCGACAACATTCTACCCTGTCTGGGACCAAAATGAGATATTCCTTGTCTTTCTGGTACCGAAGCTCGTCTGTCCTTTTGATGTGAACAATCATAATCTTCATCTAACATATCATCTAATGAATCACCTTCTTCCAAATTACTATCAAATAATTCATTATAATCCTGTTTGTCTTCGTTTTGTTGAACAGCATTTGTTTCTTTATCTGCAATTAAGAGTGTCCAAAGTGGTAACGGTGATATAGAAGTGATTTCAGCATAATCTAAAGTAAGTTCTTCTGGTATTTGAGTCGTTGAACCTCTTGGTTCGAGTGGTGAAGTTGTACCAACGTAACTGACTGACATTGTCCTTGATCTAGACCATCCACCTCTTTGTTTAACCATATTTTCATCATCAACTCTCAAAGAACACGAACTTCCTATACATCTAACTAAATGCGATAGAATAGCTTTAACCCATCGAATTTTTCCAGAATTTAACAATTCCATTAACTGTTTTGGATGATATTGTGGTAATACAGGACAAGCTATCCTTGATGCTTCAAAAAGACCATAATCGGGCATGTAATCGAAACTAACATTCTCATTTTGTATCCCACGTTTTTTCTTAGCATCGAGCATCGTTAAATTAATACTACTAACGCGTGATAAATGTGGCATAGATGATACATTAGCCAATCTTCGTTGCGATGTTTCTTGAGCTAAGGTTCTTAAATCTTCGTCTCTTAAATTTCTACTTGCTTGAAATTCATCTGATTCCTGATGTTGTAGATTTGAATGGAAACAATCTTTCTTTGGACTTGGTTTCCATTGTGAATAAACATGCATTTCTGAATCCATACCAACAACTAATATACCATCTCTTACCCATGATATTTGCATAGGTAAAGGTGGCAATCCATCGGCTGTAGTTAATTCAATCTTTCTTAATTTCATCCATCGAATTTCATCTACAAACTGTGGTTGTGCTAGTGATGAAGTTTTTCTTAGTATTGGTCTGTTACTACTTTGAGATTCTTTCATTGCTTTCATATTTGCTTGTGCAAGGTCAGAGCAAACTGGTGTGAACAACATAATTTTGGATCCAACACCAACTGTTAATATATGGGAACCATCTTCTTTGGATACCCAATCCAATTGAACTAAATGTTTTTGCGTCAGTGGACACGTGTTACCATTTTCTATGATTGATTTTCGTAAAGATTGAAGAGTACTGAATGAAGGAACTGCCAGCAAACCTTAAATAAATGATATTACATATGATATTACATGAAAAGTATTTTTAAATTATGAAATAATTAATTATCGTATATATTTTACCAGCGTTAGATTTTGTACTTTCTCCATTTTCGCCGTTCCTTGGTGATCTTATGTCTTCGTGGCTAAGAGTTTGTAAAACTTGCGTAAGCCTTTGTTTTTTCTGTAAAAATCTACTATCATACAAATAGCTAAGATCTAAATGTTGATCTACTGGAATTCGAGGTAAATGAATATTCTTCAAATGAATTGTATCCTCTAAAATCCATTCACTGCCACCTGTACTTTCACATTCATATATTGCAACACAAAGATTTACATATCTTGAGTCAGGATCACTTTTTGTAGGACGTGTAAATGATTTCCCATATTTATAAGCACAAGCAATACGACCACTATAAGCTGCACTAATATTTAACGGTTGACCTATAAAATGATACAAGAAAATATGAAAGATTTTTTCATATGTATAATTTGTACAAAAATTTGTTGTGATTAATAATATACCGGTAATATCAATTGTAGATTCCTGATCTTTTCTAACCATCTCCCATTCACACCATTCATAATCAAGTTTGTCTGGTATAGTTTTTGTAACTTTACATTTCCAAAAGCGTATAGTACTATCACTGCACGCTGTTACAATAATGTATGGTGCAAAACAAGCAGGATATATAGATGAACTACTTAAGTGTCCCGCTGCTGGTGCCGCATGTATTACCTATTTATAGAGAGAAAGACAAAGATAGAGAGAAAGAGAGAGAGAAAGAGAGAGAGAGAGAGAGAGAGAGAGAGAAGAGAGAGAGAGAGAGAGAGAGAGAGAGAGAGAGAGAGAGAGAGAAAGATAATAGATAATTGTATATATACTATTAGACAAAATTAAGAATAAGAATAAAAACCTCCACTCCATCTGGTAATGGTAATTCTTGAGTGCAAACTTTCGTAGTTGTAATAAGAACATGGCTATTATGTCGATGATGAAGGAAAGCTGTATCATATTCAGCTTGACTTTCACGTCTACTTCTATATCCATTTTGACTTGGTCTACGAGATCTTCTACCTTCTTGATGACTAGATCGTCCGGGTGTACCTTCCTCATCTTCATCTTGGACTAAATGAGAATCTGGGACATACATCATTGATCCTGATAATCCTGTAAGAATAAATACATTGTAAATAAGATACTGTTATAATATATTTTGCAATAAATGTGTAAACATGTACCTGTTGTCTCAGGTTGTGATGCAATAACTAAACGCCACATATGTACTGTTGTTCCTTGTTGAGTTCTTTCTAATACCACGATATAAAATGGTTCTTCAAAAATTGCTGATTGTTGAAGATCCACCATAGCATCCAATGTCGATTCCATTAGACCTAAATCATTACTTGAGGTATCTACTCCACATTGTTTTTCATCACTTCTCTCGCCAGTAATTAATTGCTCTTGGAATACATGAAGGAATTGAGTATTTTGCCAATCCTAAAATTTCAAATGTTATTATTACAAATACATTATTATAAAAATATACGTTTATTTTATTGCAATATAAATATAAAATTTTTAAAAATGAGCAAAACTTACATGAGTAGCATCATCGATAGCATCTAATTGTATAATACATCCTGGTCTAGCTGTTGATTGTTGAGAGACTATTTTTATTCTATCATGTATAGAATGTCTAATACCATCATCAGATGAAATGTCCGTGGAGAGACTGACCATTGAATCCTAAAAAAAAAGAAAAGAAAAAAAAAAAAAAAAAAGAATGAAATAATTAAAAATAATTTAACATTCTATTATATCAACTGTTAATATTGAAATAATTTGAATCGATTACAGACCATCATTCTGCTCCTTCTTTCACTGATAGATACTTCTGCTAACAAAGTTCTAGCATCAATGACAGCTTGATAAACTCTAAGACACTCCCCATCACTAGCAACAAAACAAGCACTAGGAGAATTAGATAAATTGCCTAATGTTGTGCTTGGTAATAATGTTGGAATCCAGGCAACGTTACTAAATGCAGAAATTTCTGGAGAATTAATTCGTGCTAATTCAGAAACTCCGCCACTTTTAGATAAAGGTCCTACAGCATCTACTCTCCAAAGAATTAATTCACTGCAGAAACCCTAATATATAAAAATATATAATCATTAACACACACACATACGTATATATATATACATATATACGTTAATGAAAATCAAAATTAAAAATTACATTTATACATATAGCTGATGGCATATCTTTTGATTTATTCACATCCTGCTTATGATCTACATGTTCTGTAGTATCTGCATTTTGAGAACAAGTATTAGAAAACTCAGGTATATTATGATGTGAAGTTGTTACCAACAATGGAAGAACAGGATGACAAGTAATGTCATTTACTCGGAAACGATGTCCAGAAGCTCTACATGCATGACCTATACTTAACACCTAATACAAAAAAAAATATTGTGTTATAAAAAATATTTTATTTTTATAAAAAAAAAGGAGAGAGAGAGAAAGAGAAACTTACCTGAGAGAATTTCGTTTTATCAGCAAATGTAAGTTGCCAAAGATTTAATGTTCCATTAGAGTGTTTTGACACCATTGATACCATTGGGCTAGGATGTGTTAATAAATCATTAACTTGATTTAACTCTTGATTTTTTCCACTCTCTGCATTATTAACACCTGTGGAAGTTGTTTTATTTTGACCTTGATCAACATGTTGCACACTATTCAATAATTCTTGTCCTGCTCTTGAAGTTAATGTTGATTGTTCTTCATCTTGTTCAATAAGGCTTGGTAATGGTGTTGTTATCTCAGCAGCTTTAAAAATTTCTTAATGATTGATAAAATAGATAAGATACTACAAAGTGTAAATATTGTACATCCTTAATTAAGATCCATATTTTACAATTATTCAATTACTTACGATCTGTAGGTTTAGTTGAAGATTTTGCAACTTCTCGAATGTTTAGTAACGGTCCTCCAGTATTATGAGAATACATGGATACATTGTGGCTCATAGTAGATGCATCACCAAGAGGAAATGCATTTGGTATTCGTGTGGAAAATGAAATCTGTGCTTGTCTAAATGAACCAGGATGATATTCATCTAACCATTCAATATGCCATATCAAAAAGCTTCCATCTATAGGATGAATTGAGAAAAGCAAATCTGGATTATGATGCCAGTCTCTTAATAATGTTTCTATTTTTGTATCTAACGAATCTGGTGCATGATTCATTGAAGATGTTGCATCTGTTGCAATAGAATTTATAGATGTAGTATTGCTGTAATATAAGTTAAAAAAAAGTAATTTAACACATTCTTATAATAAAATTATAACATTGTATGATATAAAAAATTATTGTATCATACCTAAGACTTTGATGAGAATGTGCACTATGAGCCAAGCTATGATGAGAGGAAGTAGTATGTGTAGTATGATGTTCATCACTGCTATGATCTTCCTGACTAGCAGATCGTCCACCAACACCTTGCTTCTGTGCACTTTGCGATCGATTTCCTTTTTCTGCATAGAGCATATAACAGGATAAGATGCTTCCTAATAAACACATTCACTAACGAAAAACTATATTGCATGCAAGGAATTCTTATTAATTCTATTACAGAAATATCAAAATTATGTCTTAATACATATATTTATAATACTATATAAAAATTAATATTTAATATATTTCTGTAATCGAAGTTGTAGTTAAGTGAAGTTGTATTATGGATATTAATTATGAAAAAACTTTGATAAAAAATTAAAAAATTATTAAGTCAAATATATATATGTAAGAAAAAGCTATATAACTTACTTAATGTATATTCATCCTCTGAATCATGATCTATATGATCAACTTCTTGTTGTTGCAATCCCTCTTCCTTTTCTACTACCTTTCGTGTAAGCTCTTGTAAAATACTTTCAGCTTGCATAGTAAAATGCATTTCTTTGTTATTAAGCCAATGCAAAATGAAATTTGGTTCTCTTTCAGGATCTCCAGTTATTAAACTTGGTACTAATGGAATATCTATAACATGAATATATATTGCAAATTATATCAAAATAATATTATCTTCATGTTTTAAATATTTAATATTTTATAATACCAGTCTCTGCATTAATGCTAGCTGCTAAGTGGAAGTGCATGCCTGGATAGTGGCCAGAACTTTGATAATTATTATGAAAGTCATGCACAGAATACGTTGAAGGTAAAGTTGGCAAAGTAGGTGCCGCATGGCCTGCTTGATGTTGTTGTTTAGCATGGCGACGAATATGAAAACATGTTCTAATTTTTCATGAAAAATAACACCAATAAAGAACAAATTGTATTAAGAAAATATTATTCAATCATGTAATTTTAATGTTTAAACATTATATTATTAATATAAGAATATGTTCTACATACTTCATATGTTTCAGTCGTTGCATAAATCTATGTTTATGCATATTATGATGGCGATGTTTCCCATGATGTCCATGTCTATCAGAACCTTCGAACTGACTCATATTAGCCAAACCTTCTATTTCAGGTGGTATGGTTTCTGTCCACACTCGACAAATGTTATCCCGGCATGAAGTTACCAACATGTTAGATACTGAGCCTCTAATTATTAAAAAATATTTTAATAAAAGTTCAATACCGATAGACATATATTCAGATAGATTTTTATTAAATTTTATTTATCTTATAATAGTATACATACTTGGGCATATATTTGCTTGTTTTTCTCCATGACAAATGAGTTACAGCACGTGGATGTGCTACGTATACGAAACTGTAACTATCACTTGATAATGTTTGAGAAAAATTTGATTGATCTACACTTCGCAATGGAAAAACTAAATGTAAAAATAAATGTTGTTTGGATTACTTGACATATATACATTATTATTTTAGAATCAGATGAAGTACTAACTTTGTTTATTTTCAAACCAAATTTTGACTAATCTGTCATTCATCCCTGTTGTTGCGAATAAAGTCCCATCTGGGCTAAATCTCATAAGATGTACTGGTGTAGCTGTACGACATTTCCATACACAATTCCATGCACCTGGATCATTAGCATTATTAGAATCTCCAGGTCCAGGACTTTCAGCTTCACCTCCAATAGAGAATGTCACTGCTCCAGCTATAGCAAAATATATGTTTATATAACTTTCCATAAACCTTTTATATAGTTTTATATTACTAAACTATACTTAAAAAAATATACAATATATTTAATCATAATATCCTTTATATGTTCAATATCAGTTTCATGGTTATAATATGTAGCATATAAAGCATTGACATTGATAATATAACGTATCAAAGGTTACAGTAAGTCATGCTGGATTATTGTTACTCAAAATGCTAAATAATATAAAAAAAAATTGGTGCTTCTAGCTCTTATTAAATTAATTTAACTAAATGTTTTATTACATGAAATTATTGCTACAAAATAATATATAAACTAATATAAAATAACTGTACAAACCAGCATATGTAATAATTTTACAATAACTAATATATAAATGTAAAATAAAAATATTATCATGATCATTATTCAAGCAAGAAAATAATCTCATGTAAATGAAATAATTGAATTGAATTAGCTAATATCTAAAAATTAATTATAGATAATAATTTATAATAAAGACATATTTTCAAAGCTTTTCAACAATGCAATATTTTCACATGCAAACACTAATGTTCATTCTCAAAACGAATGAACTCACGATCTTGGGAAGAGTGTGTGGTAACATTTTGATCATTTCCACTCATAGTATTTTCTTCCGACTGTAACGCTTTTGCCTTTGTAGCTGTACATAATATTTTTATATCAATAAATAAAACTAAAGAATTATTGTATAATCAGAATTCTAATATGTTTACATTTTTTCCTAATTTTGTCATTGTGTATATATATATACACATTTAACTTACTATGCTCTTCTTGAAATGGCATAATATTTTGATGCCATAATTGCAAAAGTTCGCCACCTGTCAATAGTCTCGTTCCTTCTAAATTCCATGACAAAGAACTGATATTAGATTCTGTTTGTAAACTTCCTGTTTGAACCCAACGATATTCCAATTGCTAAAAAAAAATTACAGATAAAAGATTTTATAATCTTATACTATATCATTAATCATGTAATATCAATTACAGAGATAACTTAAATGTCATAAAAAAAAAATAAATACACACATGTGAACAAGTACTATGTATCAATGGCGTTGGCTCAAATATGCAGACTTGATTTTCATAAGCTGCAGCAATCTTTCCTGTATCCGTACTACAGTCCAAACAACTAATCCTAATATAGTTGTGTACAGCTCCTGGTATAATTTGTACACGCTCAAAATTGTTAGCCAAAATGACAATGTTGCAACCAGCAGCGTATGCCTGAATTTAATAGAAAATATCAGATAAATTGATATTTCTATATCCAAGATGCATATATTATATTTATAAATTTATTATATAAAATATCGAAAAATGTTCGAGAATGTGGGATAGAGCAAAGTATAATATTTATGGATAACGTTATTCAATTGTCATCATATCGTAAAAATTGTACAATATCGAATAATTGACTTATTCCGAATGCACAGGGGAAATAAATCCATAACAAAAGTGTCTTTAATCAGCTGACTCTCATATACGTTAAGTCAAATTCATTTTTTTCTCTTCAATATCACGATGTAAGATTGTTATCTCTACAAGGACGATATCATAAAGATCGTATAATATATACACATACGTTCGTCGGAGAAAAAAAAATGAATCTAAAGGAAATAAAGTAATAAACTTACCGTGAAAGATATTCCCTCGACAGAACCGACAGCGTAGCAGCGGTCGCCTGCATTGCAGGCCCCGCTTAATATTTGATGACAATTCATTTTGTGATCATTAAGATCAGATCATTTTTAAACACGAATTTAATTTCTAACCAATATAAGTATCACGCACGAGTTAATCAGCTACCAACTCCTCCTCTCGCAATCCCGAAGGGACACGTAAAATTGACGTGACACAGTAATCCAGCCGCGAAGGTGCGGCCATCTTTAAATGGATATCTATCACTATATTTCTCCCTTTCTTCCTCAAATAAATTTAGTCATAAAAAAGAATAATCTCTAGATGCAACTCCTTCATAAGATTGTAACATGAAACTTCTGCGCAAATAATTATTATCATTTTAGGTCTCTTCCTTTATTGAGTTATATCAAACGTATAGATATAGACGATATTACAACAGCGTTCGAATTGGTAGCTCATGTAATTGGTTCTTTTATTGAAGTTCAACCAATCAGATTTCAACGACATATAGTGCCCTCTATTGATAGAATACAAAAATATCGATATTATTCGTGAAAAAGAAAAAAATTTAAAAAAGCCCGCCTAATATAATCTATAAAAAGATATTTTTATTCTGATAATTGACAAAGCATAGCAACTCCTCGCATAATCCAATGTTCCGGTGGCATTGTTGTAGGTAACCACATAGCTATAACAAAATTTGTCGAATGTCCTGTAGTTGATAATACTCCTCGACGCTCGCTGGTTTTATAAAGAGGACACGTATACGTTCGTTTTTCCTTGATATCCTCTTTTCTTGTTGGTAGTAACCACAACTAAAAAAAGAAAAAAAAAAAGAAGGTATTTAGAAATTACGCCTCGTTAAAACGAGTTACACGAAGTTCGCTTTACGCTCGTACGATAATACATACTGTTGAACGACACATCCTCTATTCAATTGCAAATAACGTTTATTATTACATGCACTTAGAAATATTATGTAATCCATAAAAAGCAACGACTAAAAGCATATCTAAATAGGAATCTAACATAATCTAATGTAGGAAGCAACATAAACAAAGAAAAAAAAATAAAAAAGAAAAAAGAAAAAGAGGAGAAAAAAAATAAATTTTATTATCCTAATCTAAATATCAGAAAAAATTCAATGTTGTATATTTACAAAAGGCATGTCGTCGTAAAGGACTTTGGGTATGCTTTCTTTCAATTCCATTTCATTTCTGTCGAATCTAGCACCATCCAAAAATAATCCATAAATATAAATTCCATTTTCAGGCGGTGTATTAAAGACAGTTTCTTTGAGAATAATGAAATCATAAACCAAATGATCGATTGGTATACTATATTTTCTCGCGTAGTTCTGTCTACTACCGGTTAAAAATGCTTGAGTAAAATAAAATCCTGATAGCCAGAAAGCCGTAGGAGGACCTTCGTCGTACCATTTCTGTGAAATAGCAATGTAGTAGTAATACAATAATATTGATCGTTGTCGTAATAATTACCTGTAAAAAATTTAAACGTTGCAAAAAGTCATTTATGTAACTACCGAGAGGCTTCAAAGAAGGATAGGAGTGTTGCATCCAATAAGATGGTATTTTAGCAGTTAATATTGTCCCATAAATATCTTCGAGCTCAAAAGACATAACGATGAAACCTGTTCGAAAGAATTAAGATTTAGATTTTATTTAAAATTTTAAATCGATCAATGATACGAAACGAGGATATATAATTTGTTACGATAGATTCTAAAAAAGAAAGAGAGACCTTTTATAGCTTTTTGGATATTGATCAAGCTACTTCGAATACAGTTTAATAATTTATTGAAACGACCCATTTCTTGGACTAATACGGTATTCATGCTTTGACTATAAGATGTAGGATATTTCTCATTCGCAGTTTGGATATCATAATCCACTGGAAGTCTGCTCAAAATATCGGCAGAAACGTTGAAGACTATCTCGTCGCTCGTCATCGCCCCAGTTCCAGTTTTAACCGTCTCCTGCGAAGTGAAGAAATTTATCGTTTAGTTGCGTGCAACGTTAATCTATTTTTGCGCCTTATTATTCGTGAGTTTTATCTCGCAAAAAAATCGATCGATCAAAACGTCGTTTTAATTATAAAAAAAAAAAAACAAAAAAAAAAAAGAAAAAATACGTACCCTTATTTGCCATAAATCCTGTGTGTTAAAATATCAAATGAACGATTAAAATTATTTATTAGCTAATTGAAAAATTAATAATTCATATTCACATACAATATACCTACCAGACGATCCTGGATAGCAAAAAACAAACAGTTCAATTTCATATAAAAAATAGAACGATCGTTTTAAAATAAACGAAATCGTGATCGATCTTACCTGAGTCAATAAAATAGAAGAGAAAAGTAACGATGTTTCTTGCTGATCCTTAATAATATCCGCATTTTCGTTCATTCCAAAAACACTTGGCGCGGTAATTAATGGAAGATTTTTCGTATATTCAACGTAAGCATCGTATTCTCTGACTGGAGGACAGTAATAAATTTTTGAACTGGTATCGAAGTAATAGATATCTTCTCCGAGTGCTTTCCTGATGAATTAAAAAAAAAGAAAAGAAAAAAGAAAAAAGAAAAGAAAAGAAACAGAACAAAAACGATTCAGATAAATATTTTTTCAATCAGCAATAATTTTTGAATTACTCACTTGCAATAGAATTTCTCTAAAATGGTATTCAATGTTCTACGATCCCATTCATCGGTAACTCTACCACCATAATTACATTCTCCAGTAAGATATTTGAGTGCTTCAAATTGTACGTCCTCGTATTCATTTAGAAAGATGTGCAATTGGAGAATGCTAACTCTCAAATCTGTTTCATTAAATTCATAGGGTATATTCCAGCCAATAGGGCCGAAATTTCGTCTTTCTTGCACAATGGCATGAAAGAAACATAAAGAATAGATTAATTTTTTAAAAGTATCACTCTGACTGCAGGACTCAAAAAAGTCAGGATTATTGATCGGATCATTCATGTACGATCGAATGATGTTAGCTCTCAAGCCTTTGGGAGGCTCATTTGTCATTTTAATGCCATTCTGAAGAACCGAAATGGGAAAGTGTTCAGCTGGATAACTAGTGAGCCATAATCGAAAGTCCGAATGAATTGCCTCAGGCATGAAGCCTTCGCAGATTTTTTCCAAAGTTGGCATCCAACTCTTTGCGAGATGACAATTCTGTAGAACCACCCAATGACCATGCGTTACACCGTTTTCTATTAGTTCCTCAGCGATTGGTCCTTGACCTGAAAAATAATACACGATAGAGAAAACAGGAAATAAAATGATGAGTGTAATTTACAAGCTCGATTATAAATAGTTAGATTTTTACCTTGTCCCAGGGACAAATAAAATAATCGATTTGCTCCGTAACCTAGATCATCAGCAAATTTTAACAATATTTGAGCTGGATCAGCTCCAGGAGTTAATACGAATATCAATGGAACGCAATTATTAGAATCGGCATATGAAGAAACTAAATCGAACGTCGGTGCTTCTACAAACTGCGGACCAAGTTCAGCTAAAAATAATTTTCTATGTACTTTCGTTTTATTTACTAATTGATTAAGACTCAAAGATAAACAAAAAGTACCGTTGACGAAATTCTGAACAGCTGGTACAATTTTATCCGGTCTAATACATCTCAATATCAACAGCTTTTGAAACATGTTGATTTTATCGTATGGAACTGGAAATATCGTGTTCTGCGGTTCTTTTGAATCGAACACTGTTTTCCATTCTTTACTTTTCTTAATGAAATTTTCTTTAATACCCTGGACGATTCAAAATGGAAATGTTTATAAGCATTATTACCTTTTTTTTTCTTTGTTAATATTTTAATAGTATTTAAATAATAATCTTACAGAAAATCCAATGACTTCGTCCAATCTGCATAATTCGTCCCACTGTTTAACAGGTAGCCATGTAGTTGGATTAACATAAGGATTATCAAGACCAACCCCACCAGTTAAGAGAAAAATCCATTGAGGCATGGAAAGCTTTTTTTGTTGTTTCAACAAATTAATAACAAGAAGTAAAGAGAACAAAAGTTTATCCTTTTCGAATAGTGATCTGCATATGTTTAAAAAGAGCGAATAAGTAAAGTATTCGATAAGATCTTTCAAACGTTGCTCCAAATTTTCCGCAGGATGTGTATTTTCAATCGCCATAGTGTAAAGATTGACGAACCACACTAATGAATATTGATACATTGGATCTATGTTTGCTAATACAGCTGTAAATAAACATTTTCATAAATAAAAGAACAAATAAATTATTCTATATTTTTCATACGTCATACCTATAGTGAAGAACAATACGGTGGAGTGAATTGCAATCGGCGTATATTGAAGTCGAGCCGCATCGATCGATTTCTCAGTGATCTCAGTAGCCGCCTGTTTTATATGAATATCGTCGCTCAAATTTTTTGAAGACGTTAATATATCGATTGCCTCTTCATCCTCGAGAATATTACCTTCGGCTACGGATAATACTTCTAAAATTTTATCCTCCGTTTCCTTCAACAATCTGAATATACATAAAAAAAAAAGAGTATCAGAAATTTTCACGCAATAAAAAATTAAAAAAGAGAATAATAACAAATACCTTTTATTTGTGGCGCTTTGTAAAATCAGTGCATTTTTTTCAGATTCCAAATCTGGCCTTTCTTTAGCAACAACTATGCCAAGCAATTGATCATCCAATCCTTCCGGTGTAATTACAAAGTTGACCAAAGTAACTTTAACAGCTACTTCTGGTAAGTAATGAGGATTTCTCAGTTTGGTCGTTATGTAAAATCTATGAAAAGAGATTGAACATGCGAGTATTTCCCTTTAATATTGTTCCAATTGCTGCCTCACGGTATGCCTACCTAAAATTATTATTATACTCAATTACAGTTTCACCTAATCTAATACATAAAACACCACTTTGTTTAAACGTTTGTTTTAAAAGGATTGGCTCGAGAACAGCGTCCAGTTCTTCTTCAATATTCTCTAATAATACAGGTTGGCCAAATTGAATAGCATTCTCTAAAACTCTGACGTAATCCATTTGTGTCAATCGAATGATACTGAGATTATTAGTCTTTTCCATATTTTTGATCCATTTATTCGCTTGATTCTGAGGATCTATCATCAGTGGCCATCTTCTTGCATTTCTATGACATAGAATAAAATGTTTGAATGTATGATAATAATAAGAATTATTTTTTCAATTATTGTTGATTATATTTAGATCATGAGTATACTTACGTAACGATAATACCATTGTCAATAGAAAATAGATCACTTGGTAATCCAAATATGTTCCAATCTCTTATTAAAACGGGATCACCGAGTACGTCACGCAATTGAAAATCTTTTGTGCATACCACTTCCAAATTTGTACAAAGCTCCACCCATTCCGCAACTTGATGTACACGAAACGGCATTGTAAATGGACCAAGATAAGCGATCACTCCAGAGGCAATGATGACGTCTCCAGTTAGCCGATAATATCTATGATACATTTAATTAAAGCAAGAAGAGTTTTAAATAGGTCGAACTTTCTCTCTTAATTGATGATGAAATTTTTATGATAGTTACGATAAAATCTTGAGATAAAATGCAAGAGAAAAATAAATAAAGAGAAAGCGAAATCTAGAATGATTTTAGCTCTAACATCAATGTTTTCTCACATTCATGTCCAATTAACTCTAGATTAATGCTTTCTCACATTCATTTATTTAATTACGATCATTATTTTTCTTTTTATTAAAATGAAAAAGGAACTACCTATCTCCGAGTTCTTGAGCGCTCAACAACCAACGATTATATTCTCCGCCTAATCCACCAATAAGTTCTTCTGCACGTTTTATCTTTAGTTCACATTCAGTAACCTGATCGGACATCGCTTGAAAATCTTCCTTTCTTTGATTTAATAATTTTTCCAGAGAAATTAATTTATTCTAACAACAACAACAATGATAACGAAGAAAGAATAAAAATACGTAAAATATGTAAATAAAATGAAAGAAGAAAATCAAGAGATATGAATTTATTTTAAAATAGCCAACATACTTGAACTTCTTGTAATTGGCTCCGTTTTAAATTCAACTCGTCCAATGCTTCTTTATATGTCGCTTCAGCTTCAGCCAAAGCCTCCTTTTTTGGAGCAACCACTTTCGCTACTTTGTCGTATTCCGACATCGCCATAACCCATCGACAAAGTCCCTCGCAAGCCGTCGAGACTTTCTTGATCTTTTCGGGATCAAAATCAGATTTTGTCAAATAATTCTTACGGATATTCTCTATCACTTTTTCTGGTATATTGTCCTTGTCAAAGTTCAATAAGGAATCAAGAAATTTAGCATCACTGAGCATCCTTAAAGAAGCCTTCCAATAATCATCAACTATACCATCCTTCGTTTGTACTCTGTCTGGCTTTATTTCCTGAAACGATGATCATCTATGAAAATTATGAAAGAGTTCGAACATATGCATATGAAATGGATAAGGTTTTAGATCATTATGAGAATACCCTAAGAACGCAAACGCTTTCGACAATAAGTTTCACGGCATACGGTGGACGTTTCATAACTTTGACTACTGCAATATCTTTTGAAGTTAAAGTATCAAGAGCTGCTTGAGCATTACGCAGAAATGGCATTGCTTCTGCTAAGCTCGCATCGCATTCTGCTTTAATTGCAGCTGCTGCATCGGCGACAGTCTACAAAAGATAATTTTCAATGACGAGAATTCGTTAAGTCAATAATTCTTTATCTGCTTACTTGAGCTGCAACTTCGTCGAGTTTAACTATTTTTTCAAATTCTGCTACATCTTGATTCTCTTTTTCAATATCAATCAACATTTTTTGAACATCTTGAGTAGCAGTAATCAACTGTGGTTGCAATTTTCTTAAAGTTTCTTGCATATCCGCGACCTGTTGCTGTGTACTATCTAATCGACCTAATCCACCCTGATATCGTGCTTTGGCGAGTAATGTTTCTCTATGATGATATATCAAATTTTGAACATAATAAAAAATGAAATAGTATAATGTTTAGAGAAGAAATTTAATATTTATTTAAATATTAATCGTCTATATATTTACCGTCTTTTCTTATCTAAAAGATCCTTGAAAGTATTGATCATCTCGAGGTAGGACGTTGGTGTTACGTAGTTATATCTATTGAGACGTATTAAAAATTCTGCACTTAATTTTTCTGTGGATACATGAAAGAAACGACACATATCTATTCCTACTTGTCTCTCGTGATCTGACAATTCGATTTCAGATAAAAATCTCGTTGCAACAGCTATCAGTGCATCCTCAGGCCATGCCTTGAAAAATATAACAAGGATAATGAGATTATATTCGAAGATGAAATCAATCGATCGAAGAAATATATTTGTATTATACTTGTAGCCAATCGATGGTACAGCAATTAACCAACGCTGGAAACTTTCTAATGCGATTTCTAAAACCATCACCGATCGGTGACATGGCTACGACTATGTGAAGCTGATCGCGTGCTATTTGTACAAAAAGATTGAAGAGAGCAACTAAGCTACCATCTGTTTGCAAGGATCGGTCTCGTTGTCGATCGATTTGTCGCATTTTCTCGCAAATTTCAACTTTCTCTTCGTTATTGAATATGTTAGGTACCTATGCAATCAATTTTAATGTAATAAGAAATCTAAGGTCAATAATATCTTTAACAGATAATAAATAATAACATACTTCTCCAGAATTCAACATATTACTGATATCTTCTAAAAAGCTCTCCTCTTTGATTTGAATGTCAGTGAAGAGAAATGTCGAATGCAATTCTGTGGCAGTAGCCTTACGCATGATCGTTTTAATATCCTCGTGCCATTCATTCATACCATATTGCTTGCTTATCTCAACTTGAAAAACGTCGTAGTCGCAAATGTGTGATGCCAATCTGGTCAATGATTGTCTTCCAGAACCACCAACGCCGACCAAAAGAGCATGACTTCTTGGTTGTTTAATGATACGAGAGATTTTTGACAAATGTTCGATGGCAAAACTGAATTACACATGCAAAATATAAATTTCCAAATGTATTTGTATATTTCTTCTTGAATTAAAATAATTAAAGTGATTCTTTACCGGAACAAAACTAAGTACATCGGTTTCTTTGACATAGCATTGTATTCCGTTAAATAAGTCTCAACAATTTCTCGTAATTTTTCTAAATCAAATACTTCTTTATACAAACGAACATCCACTTTTGTATCAATAAAATCACAATACAATAATTTTCTCAGCTCGTAATCGGTGATCTAAAACGATAAATCGAATAAATCTCCCATGAAATAATAAGATATTTTTATCATAATCACGTGTTATATGTAATACCTTGCCAGTTGTGCTACCTCGAAGAAAATCTTTAAACAATTCTTCCATGGATATTTCCATATGTTCTTTCAGAGTCAAATGCAATTGTTCGATAAGCCAATTCATATCAATTTCATCGACTAATCTATCACCAAATACACGTAAAATCTCATGAACCCATAATCTTTTCATACTTGTCAAAGTGGACATTGCTTCGGGAACAGACAAGAGTATTCCCTATGTTTAAAAAATATTATATATCATTTACATTGATTGAAAGAAAATTTTTCAATAATTTTTACAATTGAAATATTAAAATATAAAACCTGTATAACTCTGGAAAAGTCTCGGAGGTTAAATATATAATGACATTTCGCTGGTGTCGGTAAAAGATTCTTAAGACTTTCCTTAAAGACATCCAAAGTCGCGAAAACAATTTGATCGATGCATGGATCAAATTCTTTACCGAAACCTCTGAATAAACGAAAACAAAATGATGTTCTCGTAAATGATCATGATAAAAAAAAGAAAAAAAAAGAAAAAAAGATATCGACAGACCTTGTGTCAAGATGCCATAATATGATTTTACTGAATATCATTATCATAACGTCGTCCTCAAAATCGGATATTGTTAAAGCGAAGAAGTGTCTCTTGAATCGTGGAGTGATATCTTTTCCTCCACTAATAGGCGGTGCCATGGCACACATCAATTGAATCTCGATTAATTTGATCGGTATCATTTCTTTTAAATCGTACCTATTCGTTTAAAATAAATAAATTTGATAAATAAATTCTATAAAAATTGTTATACTTATTAAAATAATAATGTTATTAAAATAATGACGTTATTAAAATAAGTTTATAACCATTGCCAATGATCAAGCCATTGACGAAGCAATTCTATAGGTGGTTGTGCACCATAGGTTTCTTTTAATGGCATCGATATGTCATCGACAAAAATAATCCATCGTTTTCCAACAGGTGGACCGAAAACACCTTTGCGCCTTCTATCAAGCTTGCTCATTATTATTTCTTGAGTCTGATTGGCCGTAGTTTGAGCGGAGAAATTTATAAACAATGGCTTATTAACGGCTGAATTATTTTTTTTCAATAAGAAATCAGTTATATAAACGGATTTGCCTGTTCCTGTTGGTCCAACAAAAAGCACAGGTTTTTCATGTTGAACTAATAACTGAAAGAGAGCAGTATAACGTATTGTTTCCACGGTCGGGACGATTATTTGATTAACTGGAATATCTCGAGGGATGGGGGGAACGTTGATTAATTCGTCCGACCATAATTTCCATTTTCCTTTACCCTGTAGACATAATAATTTTTATTCATAGCTTGAATGAACGTATTAATTTCGTCCTCGTATAGAATTATTTTTACCTCTTTAATGAATCTATAATCAAAAACAAGATTATATTTAGGCATGACAAAGATGTATGGTTTTTCAGGTTGTGGTATTGGTTCTTCCAATTGATATTTTTCCATCAGAGCTAATGGAAATTCTCTTTCCATAAAACCACGAAAAAGTATACTGAATTTTTCTCTCGAACTTGCATCCAAAGTACCACCCATTGCCCATATACAAGAGAAGAAAAAAGATCCCTGTGTTATCGTAGATTTTATTAAGTTGATATATACAATATATATATATATATATATCTCAAATTATTAAATATTTTTTTACCTCAACTTGTGCTCGAAGATCATATTCGTCGATATTTTTAGCTATCTTCTCATCGTGATATTCCTCGATGAAACAGTCCATCAGATACGTTATCGATCGCAAATGATTCGAATCAGGCATTGGACACAATTCCTTTAAATAAAAATCTATTCAATTCAAGAATTATAAAAATAAAATAATAAATGATATACCTTGACATTACCACGACGTAAGAAACGGAAAAGTGGTTTACAAAATCTTATGAACAATGATTCGTAAAGGAAATTTTTTAACCAAGGATCTATTTTTGCTGGTGTCATAGAGATCCATGATAATAACAATGGCTTCCATCCTAACGCAGAGGGTTCCATATAAATCATACCTAGTTTATCACGTACAAGACAGGACTATTATTTATAGACAAAGAAAAAAAAGAAATGATTAAGTCTAAGATAATAAATTGACATTACCACAACGTGATACCGTAGCTGGTGAAGCGGCTTCAAGGTCCATCGGTTCGAAAACTAAATTGGTCTTTGGTGCTAATTGTATCACTTCACCGCTCATAAGACATAATTTTTTATTATCATCCAAAACCGTGTTCATACTTTCGATCCAGATAGCATCGATAGGTCCATCAAAGACCAACCATTTGCGATTGGTGTTAGTAGAAACAGCAAAAGTACGATAGCTTACTGCTAAAATTCCATCTTTCCATTCGTGAGAGGCAGGATCAAATTCTCCATACAATTGGCCCATAGTTATCGCTTTAGGATTCATCACGGTTATTTCTACTTTGTTTTCGTTTAAAAGATTCTAAAGAGATACATTAATATAAAATAAATATATTAATTAATAATTATTGAGATATAGAATTTAAAGATATTAACCATTTCTTCACAAATTCTAAGAGCATCAGCTAATATCCTATATGCTGTAGTTTTTCCACCGAAAGGAAAACCAACGATCATGAAACCATGTCTAACTATCATCATCTCATAAATCTGTTGTATTTTTTCGAGGAAAATAGGAACACATTGAATATTAGATTCCGAGCAAGCTTTTTCCGTACATTCATTCAGAGACGTGTAATCTGGCGTAGGAAGAGTCACATTTGGGAATAGATCAGACATAATACCCTAAAGAAAAAAAAAAAATATTACTGAATATGATTACTATATTCCAGCTGGAATATAAAGGATATATACGATATATACGTTGAATAATGGTATATCTTGATTAAGAAATTTCGGCAAATTTACGTCCTTGATACTACGCAACATTAAAATATCCTCGTTTTCTTCGGGATATTTCAGTTTTAAATTGCCCGCAGCTATCAAAACAGATTTCACGGCTCTCATGCCGTAATCATAATGATTTTGACTGGATAATTGTTCGGAACAAAGCCTGTAAGCTACGACAATTTTAACGGACAATGGTCGAGCTTCGTAGAAACCATAAGAGTAAAGTGTATTTTCTGCTATTAATGCATAGTCCGGTACCTAATATAACGTTAAATAAAATTATTTAAATTCAATTCTTATAATTAACATTTATTTTTTAAACTAACCATCATAGCAACTGGTCTAAAGAGAGCTTTCAAATTATCAGGTAATTCGGTTCGTCCAGCATAGCCTGGATTCATTGTAATGAAACAAGCACAAGTTGGATCTAATACCAATTCGGTATCCTCGAAGATCAATATCTCTTTGCCTGCGTTGACTGCTCGTTGAATCGTTAAAATTTGTTGAGCTACGACAGACAGAACTTCCAAATCAATTCGATTAAACTCATCGAAACAAGACCAAGCTCCAGTGGCAGCCAAACCCTGACAAAATGATACATAGTCAAAAAGACGACGATGGTTTTAAGATAAGAATGAAAATTAAAAATGTTTCACCTTCATAAATTTGCCTAAAGCTATATAATCCAAGCCTTCTGAACAATTAAAGACAACGCATTGTTTGGCAACAGCTTTTGCCATGTCCTTTGTGGTTTCTGTCTTACCAGTACCAGCAGGACCTTCCGGTGCACCACCAAGATTCAAATGTAATGCACCAAAAAGCGTTCTATAACATCTATCTGTTAATGGTGTTATCACTAATCTCGACGTATTACCTAAATACTCATAGGCATATTTCAAAGTTGAGTTTATCATCATCACATACATGTCTTCTTTCTGTATGATTAGTGATTGAAAAAATAAATATGATTAGGATATATTTTTAATGTAACAATTAAAGACAATAAATGTATATTAACCGTCCAATAATATCTCATCTGAGAAAGCCATTTAAAGTCGGTTGAATGAGATACTCCTTGTTCAAATAATTCTGTTATAACGTCTTTTCCATGAACGTCTAAAGTTACTAAAGCTTCTGCAATTACAGAGAATATAATATCATAATGTTCAAAATACCGAGGGAGAATTTTTGTAATAGAATTTTATTAATTAAAAGATTACCTAAGGTCGTTCGATTTTGTTTTGACAACTTGCTGCGTACCAACTTGACGATGTCATTAAGGTCGTTTATACAAACTTGAATGTAATCCTTAAGGCCATTAGGACTAGTAGAAAATGAATCTGTCGTGTAAGCGGTCCAATAAAGTTTGCTGATACATAAAATCGTTTGTCCAGGCCAATCTAAAGCCCATTGACATCGAGCTTTTGTCACGAACGCATCTTTTGCTCGTATGACCTGAACAATCATAATAATCATACATAGTTCTAACACAATCAAATTCAAATTGTTTGATTGTGCAATATTGATTAAATAAACAGTTCTGATTTACTTGTGCCCTAACGCTCTTCTTCATAACAATCTCCAATTGTAAAAGCCACTTTTCTACTTGTCCTCGAGCAGCAACAGTGTCAATTATGTCTTCAAATAGAACCATTTCTCCTTCCGAAGACTCCATCATCGTTGCTTCCATTTTCTCCGTGAAACTAAGTTTTGCGATGCCTTCGAAACATTTCTTCAAATGTGGTTGAACTCTGTGAAAAATCAATGTAATTTGACGAGCACGTTGTAAAATATTTTTTAACGCTCACTTTACCTAGTAGGATCTTTCGTTTCTGATAATATTTCTAATAACTCGTCGTTGGATAAAAAGAAAAATCTTGCAAAATATAATCTCTTTTTTTCCAAATATGCTACTAGACCTTTCTGAACGAGATCGAGTAAATTCGCACATTTTTTGAAACGTTCCAACATTTTCTCGATTTGAATAACAGACATAACTCTTGGATCATTGGCTACTGCTGCCATAATCTCTCTCCAAATCTGTTTCAAAATTACATTTAATATCTTTGCTAGAATAAGATATATGAAAATATCAAACTATTTACCTTGTCAACGGCACTAAATCGTCGACCTTCCTCTGGCATTTGTTGCTGAATATCTGGCGAAGAAAAAATTGGTTCAAGGTACATCCAAGTAGCTTGAACGGCTAACCAATAATCTATAATATCTTGCAACAATAGTAACTTTGCTTCCCATTCACTGAAAGAAGAAAAAATCTAATGGCAAAAGTGAAAAAAATATTTAAATATAAATGAACGGGTGAAAGTCGATTAACTTACAGAGTTTCTTGTTCAAAAGGCTTAATGTAAAGAGAATTTTTCATAGTTTGTGCTTTGGTCAAATGATCATCCAGTAATAATTGTATTTCATCAACACTAGCTATAACGTAAGTACCGGTATCACGATAAGGATTCACTACAAACGCTATATCTTCCCATTCCGTATACATTTTGTTCAAGGATTTCTCAAGACTTCCTTCCTTCATTGCTGCTTCCGAAATTGCTTCGAATTTTGGAACATAATCAGCTAAACCATAATCTAATATCTATAATGATAATATTAACGATAATGATTCAAGATCTTCAGATCATTAGATTTTTGACGAGTAATAGAAACTTTATACCTTAGCCATTGTCATATGTTTATCAACTTTTATCGGAAACCCAACGATCTCTGAGATCTGTTCCCAGTGACGACTTTTCATGAATGGATTTCCTAACGTCATTATCACTGGCATATGCGCTTTGAACTCTTCTATTCTGTTAACTATCGTCTCTGCTAACTTTTTAGGTATCTGTTCTTGAAAAATCTTTTCTAACTTATATGCAGTTCGATACGCTGTTCCAGTTTCGGCTTCTATTTCTTCTGGATCATGCGAGCCAATCATCGAATTCATCCATAAATCGATATTCGTAAAGGCTTCACAAGCTATGTCGAAAAGTTTTTTGTACGGTGATAATTGATCGGCAATCTGGTTCAAAGACATCGATCAACGTTAATTGCAAAATTGTTTCATCAATACAATATCTTTATTTTTCATTTTATTTTCTTTAAGTTCAATTTAATTTTCCTTTTACCTTTTTTCTTAACGGATATTGCGTGAGTTCCCAACCAAACAATTGTTCTTCCTCATTAAATCTATCGATCGTTTCCATCGCAGCAATTATTTTATTTTCCAAACTGGTAGCTTTTTTTCTGTAACGATAAATCTCATCGATATTGCCCCAATATTGTATTTCGTCGCAATATTTTGCATAAATTTCAAGATCCTTTTCAAACTTCTCGATTTTTTCTTTCAACATCTTTTGATACTCGCCAGTTTTGCTTGCGATGATATCTCGATGTTGTTCAAAGATAGAAGATATGTTGTGATACCTAAAGAACGAATGAAAAGTTTTCTAAATGAAATAATCAATTTCATTGATGACGATAAAGAAATTGTAAGAGATTCACCATTGAAAAGCAAAGTTGTTCGTTTTGAGTTCAACTGGTGTTAAAATCCAATAGTCTGATATAAAGAGAATATATTTTTTTAAATCTTTCAAACGACTTTCAAGGATAAAAATTGTTTCAGTTTCAGCAGTATTTATGAATTCTTTGAGTTTAACGAGTTCAGACGTATTTGGTGGTATACTTAGCGCTTGATCTGCTATATTTTGATAAAGTTCTCCTATACTAATAAAACATTGTATTATGAATTAAATCATTGTAGATGAAATAATTAAATAAATTTAACTTTTACAGATCTCCAATATTTCTCAATACTTACTCACGCATATTTCGTTGATAATCGTCAACCATTTTAGATAGTAAAAATTCTTTTAAACGATCAGCTTCAAAGACTATATGATCTATGAGATCTTTCCTACGAACCTCGAAAAGTTTTCCAAAATAAGTACGATCTAATATAACCGGAAGATTATGACTCAGTTGATGATAATGTTCAATGATATCACAATATTCTTCGAAAGATCGAGGTGGATCAGCTTTTAAAAATGGTTCCACGACATCCTCCTCTTCTACTTCCTCGATCAATTTTGTATAGATCATGAAATCATCTAATTGTTTTTCTACCTCAACTTTATGTACTTCTATTAATTCGACGATCTTATTTGAATAATATTCCAATAAATCCGATGATATTAGTGGCTAAAATAATAATATAAAAAAAAAATTTTCAATTATTCGCATAATAATAATCAAAGAAATCATTAAAACACCTTTAACATATTTGTCGAATTCTCAGAAGATCTCTCATTTTCGATACGTGGATAGACCGTCACAGCTTCGTAAATCGAATGTAAAAGTGATGTTAAAGTTTCCACGAACGTTGTAAAAGATGGATCAAAGAAAATTGCTTTCTTCTTCACAATTACTTTCATATTGAATCCACAATTTTTACCCTGAACGATGGTAAAGTAAATAAAAACTTTTCTTTAGAGAATAATTTGTTTAATAAATGATTTTTTTCTTTCTTCTATTTTCTTTTCTGTTTTTTTTTTCTTTTTTTTTTTCTATTCTTTTAATTACTTACACCTACGTCCATGAGATAATCAATATAATCCTCCATGGAATTAAGACAGAGTTCTCGCAATTGCGTTTCCATTATCAAAGCGAGACAATCGTAAGTCCTTTTTAATTCGGATGCATCAATTGACGTTTCAACTTTATTTGAACGTTCTTTCTTCCTTAACTTGCCGTAATTATGATAAATAAAAATAAACGATAAATATTTAATCAATGTCATTGAATACGATCGAAAGTAAATAAAAAAGAAGGAATATTTTATCTTACATTACAGAACGCAGCTTTAATTTTTGGCAACCAATTTGTCTCGAGATCGTTCCTCATGTTTCGAAGCATCCTTATTATCCTGTACTCGAAACTCCCAAGATCATATGGCTTTCCATTAGACGCTAACGTTTCTATGTCGATCTGTCTCTTATTACTGCGATAAAATTAATAATAATCAAATGATTATTAAAATTTTTCGACAAATTCTTTCTACTTTTTCGATTAACGAACCTAAATTCTCTCATCCAATAATCCAAAGATTTATGCATATAATTATTGTAAAGTATAGTGATCCTTTCTATTTTCGATTTCCTTCTTCTATATCGACATTTGTATTCCAATGAAAATTGTCTGATCTCTTCACTCTCCTTCGTTTTTGATAACTACAAAATAAATTTACATTATCTTCTTCAAATTTATTTATATATATATATAAAGAAAAACATTTATAAAGAGAATTATGAATTATTTTACAAATAAGAAAAACTTATGAAAGAACCTTTTCGAACAATTTGTAATCGTCTCTCAAAGGTTCCTGCAGAACGAAATCAATAATGGCCTTTTTAATAGTCAAATTATAATCATTCTTCGTTTCTTGAACGACTTCATTTAAAATTTCTGGAAATTTCGTTTGCCATTTAACTGGAATCAAATGTAAAATATTCTTCAATGTTTTATTGTCTATCGATTTGATGTGTACGTCATCGATCGCATGAAAAATGTAATAATGATATCTCAAAAGATCCTCTTCGCTCTTCGTAAGCCAAAACTCTTTTGCATCGAAACACACATCTTCTTCTTCTTCTTCTTCTTCTTCTTCTTCTTCTTCTTCTCTTTCTTTCTTCACAGTTATCGCTTTGATCAATGATTGACGAAATTCAGCTCTTTTTTTTCGAAGAGACAAATAAAGTTTGCTCTTTTGAGAAGAAAGGACCTTCTCCTTCTTCTTTTTATTTGTTAACATTGAACACTGTGATATTCTAAGAAACATCGTTTTTTCCAAAAAATTTTATATTAGATATTAATAATACGTTTTTATTATATATATATATATATATATTAATCAAATTTATAAAATAAATGATATTAAATAATTAATAAATAAAATGAATTTTTCTTTTAACAAATAAATTGATTTTATAAGAGAAGACATATTCTTTTGTTAATTTTTTAGATAAAAATTTGTCGTCAAAGAATGGAAAGAAAGATATAATATTTTGTTTGAAATTGAACGAACCTTGAAATCTTTTCAGAAGGAGGATCTATACTAGATCGGGGATAATTGAACGTAGATATTCTTGCGATCGTTATCATTTTACCATCTGTGTCCTTTATTCGAAAAGCTCGTTTTGTCTGAAGACTTTTAAACGTTTTATCTTCTCTGTATCTTTTCAATGATTTTAAATGTTTCCTTTTGCAAATTACATTGCATTTTTTAATATTAACTTCTTCGACATCATTGGAGCACTCCATGTTCTATGATTCTTTCTGTAGTTTTTAATGAAATCAACATAATAATTTAATTAATTTTTATAATAAATATAAAAAAAAGTCCAAATTTTTTTTTAATGTAACTGTACTTACTGTCCTTTTTTCTTTCTTTTTTTTTTTCTTTTTTTTTTACGAAAAATATATACTCTAGTATTCTATAGAAATGTAGATTTTTAATACGTATATTTATATGTATATACATATATATATATATACATATATACATATGTATACCCCCTTTATATTCTATAATACATAATTATCCACTTATTACAAGTAGAACGATCGTCAATGTCGCGGTTCGTTGTTGTCACAGAGAAACGCATTAAAGTGACGTAAATAGCTACTTCGTATCTCTCCACATATTATGCTTCCTCGAGTTTTATAATAAAAAAAATTGAAAATTCGATTGATCGAACTGTCAATAGTACTATCGATCATTGAGCGATCATATTTAAAAATTACATCCAACTAAGATTCTATTTTGATAAAATTGGCGCATTCGAATTTTTCACAAACGTAGATATTACGCTCACGATAAAACTATACAATGATTGGTAACTAATCTTAGAAATTTTCTTTCTAACACTGACGAGCAAACGCGTTTCCATAGTTTCCATAATAATCGTTAGCAACGCGAAGAATTTATATATACACATATATATATATATATATACATATATAGTATACGTATATATTATATATAGTATATATATATGTACTATATATATACATATATAAACATATTTGATGTAAGGAAGAAGGAATAGTTATGTTACTTGGAGTAGTATTATATATATATTATATATATTTTATATATATTATATATATATAAAAGAAAAAGAAACATACTATACTCAGGTATTTATGTGGATATTCATCGAAGAAAAAATAAACGTATTTTACGTTTTATTTCGACGAACAAAGCACAAAAATGTTCATTTTCTTCTCATACGATTCGTCTATTACATTATTATACATACATTCGAACTTTTTTTCTTTTTTTTTTTTTTATATATTAGCAGATGCAAGACGGAAACATTGATTTATAAACTACACGATTTGTCGCATTTTATAATAAATTATTTCCACTTTCAATCATGAAAACTCGAAGTTACGCGATCGATCTGTATCAATTGAAATTTATCTTTTTGGTTTTTTTCTTCTTTTTCTATCTTTTTATTCCTTCTTTTTTTTTCTCTTTATTCCATTCTTCATAGACAATTAGATATTTTTATCTTTCTTTGAAATTTTTCTAATTAAATTTTCACGTAACTTCTCTTTTCTTTCTTAATTTTATCACTTATATGTAAATATATATTTATGTTAATATAATAAAGAAAAAATTATTAGAAAAAGAAATGTCAATCATATGCTCAAAACATATTGTCTATCATTTAAAGGCGATAGACAATGTATCCATGCTTTAATTATAGATAACAATATTAATCAGTTATTTCTCTCTGTCTTTAATCTTTCTGATATAATATAATTACTGAGAAAATTTATTGAAATACATAATAGGTACATCTTTTGATTGTCATTCGAGTAATATTCGCGGCGTTATTTATTGATCCCACTTAAAAAAAAATAAATAAATAAATAAAAAATAAAAAATAATAATTATCATCATAATTGATCCAATGGTTCTTTGTTTCAAATTCACAAAAAAATTTGTTCACACATATATATATATATATATATATATATATATACACGTGTATAAATATAGGTAACTTTAAAAGGTCGGCGCGGGTGTTGCTATGCGATTCGTGACCGAACTACCAAATTATTGATTTTCTTACCCATCGACATTTACGGTGTCACCATCTGAAAGACTATTCGTACAGCCTACGGCTTTTCATATTTGGCCCCCGGCTTCTCCTACCGTTAATTAAACGTAAAATTAAGAATCGTTATTATCACGCCCATTTGGACCTCGTTATAAGGGATTAATTAGCCTCGTTAATGAACTTTTCGCTTTTGTTGCTCGAAATGATGACTCATCCATTTTAAAATTATTTTAATGCGAATTAAATAATCGCATTTGTTAATTTTCTTAAGTATCATTTCTTCGTACAACAAACAATATCCGTATATATTATGTTACATTTTGTTTCTTTATTTTTCTTTCCTTTTCTTTTTTTTTTCTAATTTTCTTTTTTGCTGACGCTAGAGGAAAAGTACATTCACGAGTAGGCACACTTCACAAAATACTTTCTCTCCTTCTCATTCAAGGACAAATATATATATATATATATATATATATATATATATATATATATATAATATACGTATACTATATATTTTCTATTCTATCTATTTTGTACATTTAAACGACTTCTTCTTTTCTTTCATTTTTTTTTCATGTCGTATGAGAAAGAGGGAGAGAAAGAGAGAGAAAGAGAGAGAGAGAAAGAGAGAGAGAGAGAGAGAGAGAGAGAAAAAGAGAGAGATTTATTTTTAACTTATTTAACTTTTTGTTTTATAACTATTGAAGTTAACGAATACAATCACGATGTTTTATAATTTTAATGGAACGCTCATTCTTCCGGGTCGCTTCATCGCGACATTATAATCTTCTACGAGTCATAAAATAGAATAGTTAAGAAAAGAAAGAGCCTGTATATATATATATATTAACACCACACTGACATTGATGAACTTTCATTTTTTTCTCTTTCTCTCTCTCTCTCTCTCTCTCTTCTCTATTTTACGTGCCATAGAACGTTATGCGAACACTTAAGCGGCATTAAATGTTCTCATAGAGTAAAGTTATATAGATACGTCTATTAGGTGGACGTCATTTGCTGAATCCTTAAAAGAACTCGCTCTTTTACTATAAACTAAACATGAGCATTATACACACAGCAGTCGGTCTTATTGGAACATTAACAATTACGCCGTTGAAAATTACTTTAAAAGATTGATCTCGTTTCAGACAGGTATTTAGTTTGGATAAGCGTATACGTTTATTTATTAACACGATAGCTAAGAAGCTAAGAGATAGGACAAAGAAAAAAAGAAAAAAAAAAAAAAAAGAAAAAAGAAAAAAAAGAACAAAAAATGAAGGAAAAAAAAGAATAATAATAAATAAAATATTAAAAAGGGAAGAAAAGAAGAAAGAAGGAAGAAAAGAAGCACAGTAACGATAAGAAAAGCAAAAGCGTTAGAGAGCCTTGGTTAGAAAGTAATTTTATAAATTTTTTTATTGACAGAATTCAAAAAATAAATCAAAAGGATATATGATTATTACGAGTAAGATCGATAGGCGACGAAAACGTAAGATATTATTTAATTGCATCCCCTTTTTCTTTTCCTTTTCTTTTCTTCCCCACCCCAGGGCCCCCGCCCCTCCCTCCCCCCTTTCTCCTTATCGAATATTCCCTAATCATCGTAAAGCGATTGGAAAGATTTTCAAACGTAGAGGAACATCGATATCCGTAATAATATCTATTCTCGTTTGAAGGAGTTCCACATAAGACGTGTTTATTCGCAATCAGAGTGTCTCCGACTATCACGTCAAAAATTGACATTACGTTATTTATTTTGTCATCGAATGATTTAAATAGGCTCGTCATCTCGGTGTCGATTTCTCGTAACAATTCTCGGGACCTCGTTCATTCAACGAAGAAACGGAAGTTCGTGCCGTCGGTGAACGGTTAGGGTCTCGTGAAGCGATATCGGTATGGTGTCCAGTTGAATAGTTCTATAGGAAATAAATATGATAAGTATAAAAAGAGAGATATCACATTAAACGAAATGTACTCTTGTCACGAAAGAAAGCCATGCAAGATTGTTTCGTATTTTCTTTTTTTCTTCTTTTCTTTTTTCTTTTTTTTCTTTTCTTTTCTTTTTTTTTTTTTTTCTTTTTTTTTCTTTTTACAAGGAACTCTAAAAACTACTTATGCCCAGATTGGATTTTTTATAAACGAGGTGTTTCGATAACGATAACGTGCAATCTGATAACGTATTACTGGACATACATGGGAGTTTTAATTCTTTGAAAGATTCGTACGATGCGTTGCATACAAATTTTCCGTGGTCTTTCTATTATTTATCTATTTTAATTGTACATTCATGGTCCCTGATTATAATGGATTATAATATTACGTATCTGCTAAGAATATTTCTCATTATTATTCAAAATAAAATATTTCATCGTTATCGAATAAAGTCATTCGTTCATATTTTCTTACAGGTTTCTCATATATAACGATCAAAAGTCGTGACTTTTTATTTCGATATATTAATCGAATTAAAAATTACTCGATTAATATAATTAACATTGATCGAATTTTATTAACTAATTTCTCTTCCTCTTTCTCTTTCTATCTCTCTCTCTCTCTCTCTCTCTCTCTCTCTCTCTCTCTCTCTTTCTCTTTCTCTTTCTCATACACACACACATATATATATATCTACACATATTCTCTCTTTAAATAACCGTTCGATATTTCGTATACTCGCCTGTTTCCACTTCATTCTACCTCGGTACATCGTATTAACGATACGGTTATCGTTATCGTTACAATGCGAGGACACGTGTATATATATATATATATATATATATATATATATATATATACATTGTTCCATTATCAACGCCATAAATCAACACCGAACGGATTAGCTTCCTCCTTATGGCATTAATTGAGGAAAGAAGAAAAAAGAAAAAAAAAAAGAGAAAAAAAAGAGAAAAAAGAAAAACCGCCATAAAGTGCCACTTTATTGTACATACAACGCATCGGCCACGATAATAAGAGAGAAGACACCAAAGGAAAAAAATAAAAATTGACATCTTGTTCAAGGTACGATAATGATGATTGTAATAGGTCAATAAGGATAAAAGAAACCCATTCATACGGTCACGATATGATATTACGTACGAATGCATATGATCTTGCATTTAATCAATTGAATCTACTAGACTAGCATAGAAGGTGCATTTAATGTTACTTGACAATTTCTATGACCGTGTTGTTATCTCGATTTATGGACGATTATTACCTTATACATACTTGCAACTGAGGGGGAACGATGATAAAGATGCTACGTGAATGAGGGAACAAAAAAGGAGTCTTCTGTCTTTGACGTAGTTATGAAACATGTACATGTATTTTCGATCTTCAGCCGATGTCCCTGACGCGATACGTTTATGATCACTCTTCTGAATAAACTTTCTCTCTTCACATCCTCTTTTCATCGAAAATTATCTTCCAGAATATCGATTCCATTATTCTTGATGATAAAAAAAAAAGAAAAAAAGAAAAAAAACTGCGCTAACGTATGTCACCCTATTAACGTATGTCACATATAAGATACAAAAGATAATAATATAAAGTAAAGTAAATGTAAATAATAAAATGGTTCGTAGGATCAAAGTAATTGTACGTTAAAAGAAAAAAAAAAAGAAAAAAACAAGAAAAAGAAAAAAGAAACATAGAAAAAAGATGAGATTAATCTGCAAGAGAAAAAATATAAAAACAAAACAAGAAATAAAAAAAGGAAGAGAGAAAGAAAAAACAAAGAAACAAGAAAAATGTAAAAAGAAAAGAAAAGAAAAAAAAAAAGAAAAATACTAAATATTTTTGAATTTCGTATTTCATTAACACTCGATTTTCTCGGTCATGGCCATCGACTAAAAATCGAACAAGTTCTCGATATAATAATGATCGATCGATGTAGAAACGAAGGTGTCCGCTGTTATTGAAAGGGAGCAGGAGATATAAAGAATCCGTGCTGATCTCCGATGAGGTATCTCGCCGACGTTTATTTGATGATATGACGTGGTAAATGATGATGCGAGCACGATGCAAGAAGGACAACGGGCTCCAAATTGGCAGTTTAGAATAGCGCTTACTATAAACGCTAATTTCACTCTACGATTTACCATTGTTGCTGAAGCACGGGCAAAGTGCGTTCAAAATTCGATTGCAGAAGCCACGGGCTCGGTTGTTCCAGCCGGCGATGGTATTGCCTCCTTTCAAACTACTGCCTGCACACATGCATTTACTCTTCTTTAATGCGAATCAATGTTTAAAGGGGGGAAAAAAAGGAGGACTACTGGCGATAGGGGTTGCGTTACAAAGTAAGGAGAGATACTAGCTAGCATATTTCTTTCACTCACTCTCTCTCTCTCTCTCTCTCTCTCTTTTTCTATCTATATCTCTTTTTCTACCAACGAACTACGTCGATAAATTCAGAAATTAATGATAAATTTAGCTTGACTATCATCTTATATATGCTTCGTTATACGTTTGTATACCTACGTATGTAGCATATAAATACATATGCATATACTTTAATGTGTTATCCATATGTATTTATGTACATATGTCTTTCTTTTTCTTTCTATCATTCGCACGTGCATTCTCTCTCTCTCTTTCTCTCTTTCTCTCTCTCTCTCACTCTCTCACTCTTTCTCTCTCTCTTTCTCTTTCTCTCTCTCTCTTTCACTTTGCAACTACGAAGCTACATAGATCTAATACGATAACTCGACTGTCAATTGAAGTAGCTTAATACTCACCTTCGCCAAAGTCACCTCCCTGAAACATTTTATTGATTATTCGAGTGAATTCTTCTAATTAAGAAGATATTAAAAAGTCAATAGCTGTGGAAAGATTAGAAAAGTGGGCTATAGCGAGGAAGTCCCTTTGAAGATTTTTCAAGAGACTCCGGGAAAAAAATAATGTTCGCACGATGAAAGCAAAGCAATTCTCAAATGAATGTTTTCATTACCTCCTCTTGTTCCTTCCTTTTGGAAGCTTCTATGGCCGCTGTTTCGATAACCTCCGTCACAAATTTCGTCGTTTCTCTCATGAGTTCTTCGTCCTCCTTGAATGCTTCTTTTCTTTGCTCCAACGTTCCTGTCATCAGATTTCTTTCGTGCTCCTCCATCGTAGGCGATTGAAACGATAAGCTCGTTTTCTCGGTCATCATAATAATTGAAATAATTTTCTCTTTTGTTCTCAAAATCAATGTAATCTTCAGAAATCTTTTATTACATTTATCTTTGAAAACGACAAATACTTCTTATATTCCCCATCATTTAAATCCTTATTCCTCTTCCTTTAAAGATAAAATACTCGTAACTGGAAATAATGAAAAATAAAGATGAAATATGTTCGATTAAATGAAATCATTGAATATTTATATAATCTTTTACGTTCGACCGACATTCAAAAGCTTTACGTTGTATCACATTATGCATTAAAATTGCGTAGACGTATCTGCATGTGTTACTAACAAGTATCACATTACTTCAGCGTTATTAAAAGTCTTTTAACAGTGTGTGCAAGATCGTTATTTACACAAAAGGCTATTTACACGCGTACGTTTACATTTATTAACAAGTCGTATACTCTCGGGCAAGCTGCCAACGTGAGAAGAATTTATTGTGAGAGAAGTCAAATAAAATACAGAAGAGAACAAAAAAGAGAAAAAAAGAATAAAAGAAAATAAAAGAGGATCACAAAAATAATTTCGACTTTTCCCTTTAATTCCTTAATAACTCGTCATTAAATAAATAAGTCCTAAAATTGGTGCATTCAAGAGAATCAAATTTCTATCGTATCGTGAAAGCTCGATTACTCGAATATTCCTTTCGCGAATGAAGCGTAAAATCTTTATCGTATTTCTTTTCTACGTGTTGATATGATAAAGAGTCTTTTTAGTCCGATTTCTCGGTCTAATTAATAGCAGTTTGACCGTAAATGTAATCAAGGACACGGCAATTGTTTATTCATATTCATGGAAAATTCTTTTTATATTCATTAAAAAATTCTATTTTCTTTCAATCATTGAAATCGATATTTGATACGAACAAAAAAATCACTAATCACCGGCACATCTCGCGTTCTCACGAATAAATCCTTTAACGCACAAGTTAACAAGAGCCTGTCACTGTCGTTCATTCCGATAGAATGAAAATTCACAATACCCATAACTAATTTCTGGTCACGCGACGTAAATGTGCCACAGGTGGCATGCGGTTTCTTCCTCGAGAAGCATGTAACCGCGTGCGAAGTATGTCTGATCGTGACTGCCTTTGTACTGATTGTATCTAATAACAAAAGCGTACTCTAAAGATCAACTTTTTACTACCTTGAACGATATGCTTATGAAAGCATAGAATCACGAACATCTAGCACCAACAACGAGTACACTTGCCACTACCACTCTCACAAAAGCCAGTCAAGGAACCCTCATCCCCCTTAGTTTGCCTTGTCAAACCCTCCTACAACTAATATGTCATTGGCGTAACGTAAAAGAGTTTTTAGATCTAACGACTTCCATTAAATCAGCTTTTATTAGATTTGTACTTGTACTTTTTCTTTTAATATTTATTCTCTTTAATAACACTAATTACGATTAATTATTTCTATTTAAAAGTCCTACCGAAATTCAAAGGACGTTACAGTCCCCGGGCTATGGTATACCTCTCGGTAACGATCGACCACCTGCGGCCTCTCTTCCACGCTAGGCTAGCCTACTCGAGCGAATATTAACCCCAAGCCCCGAACCTTGTTGTGTCGATTTCGGAGCATGCGCTTCGACGACGCGCCGGCGCATGTTATCCTTCTCCCACGCTGCACATATGTATGCGTTAGTATATATATATCTCTTTTTATATATCTTCTCTTCGTATAAAAAAAATGGCATATAAGGAAAAACGATTTCAAAACGATTACATATCCACACGCACACGCACACGCACACGCATATGCACACCCACACATACGCACATACACTTCCTAGTATATAGAGAAAGATAGAGGAGTGATTGTGAACGAACAAAAAATCTATTTCCTCTTTGTCTTCTTCTTTCTCTTTAATAGTTGACGTTCGCGATACGATCTCCACATTTTTTGAATGATTTTAGCCGCATGATTTTGTTTTAAATTTTTCACTCTTTCCAAAAATATTATCATTATTTCTCTCTCTTGTTCCTCCTTCAAACGAACATATAATTCGTTTTGATCTATCAAACGTGCCTATAAAGAAATAAAGATGTTTAACGATTTTAAAAAAATAATTAACAATATTATGAATATAAAATAATAATAATAATGTATGTGTGTGTATAGGTGTGTATATATGTGTGTATTTACGAACACGAAGTTCTTCTTGTTCTTCTTTAAGTGCCTTATTTTTGATTGTCAACTTTTCTAATAATTTATGTTTACTACCGATCACACGATCGTACTTTACTAGTACTTCAATAGATTTGTTTTGCATCTGTAGACTATGTAATAACAATATTAAATATATTATTAATAAAATGATTAAATAAATATATACGTGGAAATATATATGTATGTTTATGTACCGTATGGTTCGTAAATCTTTCTCTCGTGTAACATTTTCAGCATTTATTAATTTTATTTTTTCACCGAAAGAATCTATTTCTGTTCGTAATAATTCCATTTTATTTTCATGCTCTTTGCAAATGTTCATTAATTCATGTTCAAATTTTTCCCTGAAAAATAATTTCAAACGTGTTTGTTAATTAATACGTATTAAAATAAACAATACGTAATACAATAAAGTGTATCTGTTAAAAAAATATATATATATTTATAATATAAAAAAATTATATATATATATAAATAATATAATAAAGCGCAGTATATAATACAAGTGAAATAAAAAAAATTTGAAAAGAAGAATTAATTAATTATAAAAATTAAATGAAAGGTATAAATCATTACGTTTGTTCGGCCATTTTGTTTTTCGCCATTTCTTTAATAGATCGACTTATCGATTCTTCTTTTGCTATATCGATAATCGTTTCCTCTTTAAACTCGTTGAATTTTGATATTTCCTCTTTCAACGAACAGCGTAAGGCTACAAAGTATAAAAAAAAGAGATGATATTACTCTAAAATGACGTAAGCACAGAGATAATCTGTAATTATCGTTTCTTAAAAGATAATTTGTAATTACGTTAAATTATTTTATTATCGATTCTATATCTTCTTTTATGGAAAAAGAAAAAATCTTTGGATGAACAATAATTATATGCACTGTATAAATATGAATGTAATTTTTATTTTTTTTTTATTTTTTTTTTATTTTTTACCTTCAACATCCTTCACCGCCATCTTCAGATTTTTTTGACATGTTTGTATTTTTATTTCATACGTCTTTCGTATCATAGGTGTCGTACGCATTTCTTTTTCGATTAAATCCTTGAATGTATTTAAATCGTCAATTAATTTTTCCAATGTTAAACACTTCTGTTAAAAAAATAAAACAACACAGAATATAATGTTTATGTATAAAATGAATATCGCGTATATTTTATAATATAAAGAAAATTATTACCATTGCCTTTATTTTCTTCATAAATTCTACAAATAAATTAACCATTCTTTGTATCGCTATTTCGTATTGCATATATAAATCCATATCTACAGTGTTAATATACGTACACATAAAAATGATGTGTACGTGTGTTTGTGTGTATGATACCGTTCCACAAATTGATAACAATAAGTTGCCTATCAACTCAATACGAATACAAACTCACGTTACTGCCTACGCTATTGATAACTAAAGAAATAAAAAAGCAATGTATGAGACTTATTTACGTTTCTATGGTATCTATTCTCCATTGGCAACGTGAATCTGATCTTTCATAAAAAAATATTGAATAGATAACGGACTTGTTTCATTGTCAATGAAATTTATTATCTTTTCTATTTAAATTAATTTTATCATTTTCATATTTCATTTGCGATCAGTAACGTTTATAAATAATTCATTTTATTGAAAATAATTGTAATAATGTGAAATAATTTTTGAAAAGGGATATAACGATTTTTTTTTTGTCGTTAGGTTACTTACCGTTTGAATTCGATTCTTCTTTTGTAATGAAGTACAGCGCTATCTATATGATGTTAGGAAAAACATCTTATATTTCTTGTATTTCGATGAAAGCATATGATTGGTCAAGTACTGGGCGGTAAACCAATCCGCATACTTCAAATCAGATGCGTCTCTACGAAGATGCGTAAAAGAATGCATACATGCGTCATATTCTATGTATGTATTATATAAAGTTACAATATTCATCTATGAACGGACACATATAGAAAGATTCGGTAGACGACAAAGATGGCGTATCGCGGTGTGAAAGGTTCTGACCCGTTCGTTTCAAAAACTTCACGAAATGAACGTTTCGCACAAATGTCGAAACAAGAACAAATTATTCAACAAAAGAAGTTAGAAATCCAAGCGAAATTGCAAGAACAAAAAGCTAAGGAAGCTGTCGAAAGTGTTAAGAAATCTAATTCACTTGGCCTACCTACGACAACCAACAAAGCTACTACATCCAAGTGAGTACTCGACAATGTTTTCTTTGATATATCTAACAAAGTACACTTCTTTGTTTGTCAAATTAATGTTTATTATATATGAATTATTTTTCTTTTATTTATATTCCTCATTTTTTTTTTCTTTTATGCTTTATTTTTCTATATAAATGTTATACAGTGAATGAGATAAATCAAGGTTCACATTATGAACTAAACTCTGTTATACTATGCATTGGAGTTTTAAATCTTATCTTCTTATTATTCCTTTTATTTTACAATCGTTATTACAAATTTTACATTTCAATATATATATATATTTGATTTCATTCAAGATAACTACTAAGTATTCTTATGTTAAATAATTATATACTCGTTTTAACACAAAAGAATAACTTGGATATCTTTTTAATCTCCTTATCATTTGTGATACCATGTATATTTATTTTTTTTTCTTTTCTTTTTTTTTTAACACAAAGTTAATTTAATTTCTACAAAGCCAAAAAGAAGTTCATTCGATACTGCCATTGCATTATAAATAGATGTTAAGCATTGCATATGTTTATTTATAGGAAGGAGGACGAGAAGTCGTCTACATCTGTGACAGTTAATTTGTTTGCCAATGATGGTAGCTTCCTTGATCAGTTCAAAAAAATTGCAAATAATAAAGGAACGGGAAAACAAGCAGAGTCTAACCAATCAAAAACTGAAGATAAAAGGGAAGAAAAGGTAGAAGAAAGAAGTCATGATAATAGAGAGAAAGAACGTGATAGAAAGTGGAACAATGAAAAAAACAGAGATTGGGAAAACAAAAGGGATAGAAGAAGAAATGACTCAAGATGGGGAAGAAGTTCTGACAGAAGACACAGTTCGTCGTCTAGTCCATCCCCTACCAGGCATAGGTCTTCTTTGAGTCCCGATCCACGTTCAATGTACAACCAACCTCCTCCAAATGGACCACGACCACATTTTAATCAACAACAATATCCTCCCCAAAGTAACAATCAAACATCATCTATACCTCCTCTTATGTCTCAGCCAGTGATGCAAATGACAAACATTCCTCCACCTAATATGAGGGGTATGACAACAAATATTCCACCACCAAACATGCCTAGAATGCCACCACCAAAAAATGTCAACAATAATTATTCCAATGTGGATAACCATTCTAATAATCCCAGAATGCAAATTCCTCCACCACATATTATAAGGCCTCCACCACCACCAATACAAAATATTCCACCTAACACTAATGTACCACCACCAAATATGCAAGTTCCACAGAATATGCCAATGACCAACATACAAAACTTACCACCGTCGTCTACTTCGCAACAACATATTATTCCTCCTCCACAGCAATGCAATATACCACCACCTACTAATTTGCAACCTCCAAATATTCCACCACCTAACATCCCACCACCAAACATGTTGCCGCCAATGTCTCAGATGCCTCCAAATATGATGCCAATTACTGCATCTCAAACAATTGTAGTAACAGTACCTAATGTACCAAATGTACCTCCTCCCAATGTGATATCATCAATGATAATGTCTGCACCTCCTCCGGTTCATACTGTTCCATCTACTATAAATTCTGTACCGCCTCCAAACTTGAATATTCCACCTCCAAATGTCCCACCACCTACAATAATACAGAATGCACCACCACCGCCACCGCCACACTTGATTCCAACCTCCTATCCAATACCTAATCAAGTACCGATCACAGTGGGACCACCTAACGTTCAAATTCCACCACCTGTAAGGCCACCAGCTAATCTACAAGGCAATGAACAACTAGGTATGATGTGTTAATAACATTTTTTTTATCTACGTCACCAATTACAAGCATCATAGCAATAAATGTAAATAATGTGTTACAAAGCACTAAGATCATAAAATATTATCGGTGAAAATATTCTTTTTACTTGTCACAAATCTAGTTTATCATAAAGGAAATCTTCATCATCATATATAGTAAGAAATATGCATGAAGAGTGTTAGAATATTATAATACATATCTGACAAGAGTTTCTAAGTTTGTCCCATAGAGGCTGAACAACTGGCACGCATAGTCGCTGATTGTGGAGATGAAATAGAGCAAGAAGTACGAGAGAAGAATGCCCAAGACCCTAAATTATGGTAACTACTGTCCTTACTGACCTTTATTTTTTTACATCCTTTTTCCCACTCCTTCTGTGTATATGCAACGCGTATAAAAATTGTTTAAAAGTTTTAAAAATATTAGTAGTTGATTATATTTATTGTCTATTTTTTTTTTTTCTTTTTTCTTTCTTTTTTCTTTCTTCTTTTTTTTTTCTTTTTTTTTTCTTTTTTTTTCTATTTTTTTTTTTTTAGCTTGACATATTGTATTAATCTTTTGATAAAAATCGGATACAACCTGCAGTTCCTTTGCAATGTGTGTTGTTGCAAGCAAATAGTAATTTTTTAAATGTGCCCT